AGCAGGAATACAACCTCCTATCCTCCCTTCTAACGATCAAGCCCCAGCTATCTCCAGATACTTGTGATCTGTCTTATGACTGCGTTTTTGCTTCATGAAAAATGTTTATCCTGATTTGTAAAACAAATGAGTGACTAGTTGGTAGTGGCTGGAGAACTGAGTAGTTGGTGCCGGCAGGTTTATGGTTAGTTTTCAGTAGCTGATGTTTGGGCGCCAGGCACACATGGCAGCATGGTTTTCTAAGTGCCAAAGCTTCTAAAAATAAATGTCTTGCAGTGATGAGGTGTCATTGCTCAATCAGTCCATGAGTTGCATGAGACCTGTGTGCCTAAACAGGTATGGGGTTTAGGGTTTTTTTTTTTAATTCTAGATAACACTAGTCTAAATGCAGTTTGACAGTAGCTTTACAAATGAGTTCTTTTTGGTTTTATTTATTTCTTTCATTTTATTCCCCTTCTCCTCCATTTTGGCCCAACACTACACATACAGATTCAAGGGGAGTAAAATTTATTAATCCACTAATGACACTTTGGCTCTGTTGTTACTGAGAGGAGGAAACCGTGTTTTTTTTTCTTTGGGAGGTTGTGAAGTGAAGAAAGATATGCTAAATGTCCAAAATAGTGTCTGTTTGCTTTGTATGCTACCTGTAATAGTGGCCAGGGCTGCAAAAGATGATCACAAGATGTTTTTGGATGGTATGTAGTGGGATGTCTTGATAATGTGGCAAACTCCTTCTGAAGTGTCAAGTTACAAGGATTTCTGTTTGTTAAAACTCTCACCATATTTTCTATAGCCATGAATCAATATCTGGTTTTTGGTAGAGAGAAAACCAATAAGACTGAGGCTTAATATAGGCCGTTTGAAACTGGACCTGGGAGAAGGAATGTGATGTTGTATTGTTCATTTCTTTAAATGCAACACTTCTGTAATGTCCTTCCAATCTGCTTAGTTGAGCTGTTAAAGCACCAAGAGTTTAAGCTTCCTTCACTACTGAAGGAGCTGTTGTGCAGGTCACTAGCTCTGGCTTTATTGTGTTTCCTAATGTTTTTAATACTTTTTTTCTTTTTTCTTCACTTTTTTTTTTGGTTAGTGATAACCATGCTAACTAATTCTTCTGTTGTTACACACTGTCTCCCAAGCTGGACAACCTAGTCTGCTCCCTAAACCTAATTTCTGTATCTTGCTTGCCTTTGTGCATTTCTGAATTCTGCCATGTAGCTACTTGTATGACACCCAGAATGCAGAGAAAGGGATGGTGCTCTCTACCTCTGATGTTTTAGAGAGCTCAATCTGATCTGTAGCAAATTGCTGTTCCTTCTAGTGTCTAGCAAATATTGATGTTTAATTTCTCATCTCACACACCCAGACATTTTAAATTACAATTGCGGCCTCTTGGGTTTCTCCTGCCAACCCAAAGTTTACTCTTTCTAATTATTTTTCCCCATATATGTTAGCTTTCACATGAGTCTGCTGTTTGTGTCCAATCTGCCTGTCTCTTGTTCCCAATATAAGTTGTCTTCAAACTTTGTTAATGTACTATTAATGATTCTGTCATCAAATATCAAATAATACTTAATCTAATATGCTCCTCGCAGCATTCCACTGGCTACTTCTGCATAGCTGATATATTGCTGTTTGTATTAAGACTAAATGTTTAGTTTTAAATCTGCATGAGCAAATCTATGAAGCAGAGAAATTAATTTTGAAGCAAGGCTTTATGAGAACATTGAAGTCCCAATATACTGCACCTACTGTATTCCCATACCACTTATTCTGCAGTACTGTAAAAAATGCAGGCAAGTCTTTCTGAAAAGACTTCTTACATATTTTATACATATCATTATATTTTTTTAAGACTACAGTCCTTATTTCTCAGGGGCCACCATTCTCAAGGATGAAGTCTGCTTCACTTAGAGCTTGAGTGCTTGAGCTATGGGAGGGTGCAGTGCAGATGTGTCCGACAGGCTTGTCCTGGAACCTGAGGCTGGGCCAGCCCCTGTTGTGGTTTATAGTCTGACTTAAGCCTTTGCTGTCTGCGCAGGGGCAGTGAGGTGGTGTTAGTTACAGTTTTTGTCAAAGCATGACTTCAATGAGGCAGAGAGGTTCCTGTGCTGGTTGCTGTTCTCTCCTTCTTCTCTTGGTTCCGAATGCATTTGCCAGGTTCATTCTCTTCAGTACTAAATCATGGCTGTGAAAAAGGAGGGAATATGCTTTTGTAGGTTGGTTGGTTTGTTATTTCTTGGAATACTTCTACCTCTGTCTTTGGGATCTATGTCAATTTTACCACTGTGTGTGTGGAGTTGTTTGTGACCTGTTGAAATGTCTGCCTTTTTTTAAGGAAAAAAAAGTATTGTGTTTTTCATAAGAAGAAAATGTGTGCTTCCCACCTTCCTTATTTTATTACAAAGCTAGACATAAATAAAACAGTAGTTGGAAGATGAACCTACCTAAGTGAAGCAGTTCCTGAGATTAGCTTGGTTGTGCTGGGTGGTTTCATTTTATTTGTAGATTGGATTGGCAGATAGTGGTTGATAAATAATTTTTTAAAATGTAACTTTAAAAAACTTTAGGCTATTAAACATACTGAAGATATTAAGTATTTTAGGTTGCACTTTATAGTATTTTTCCTGCATTACACCGTGCACTACTCTCATTCTCCGAAAGCTGTTGTAAGCACAGGCATGAATGCCTTTTCGTTTGTGCATCCTTCAGTTTTTAGGCAAGCTAGCTTGGAACTTGCTGACTTCTTTGTGGATTGCTGCTGGTATATTTATAGTGTAGCTCAGCAGCCACAATATTAATTTTCAACTAAACCAGAATCCACTTCAGTAAATAAATTGCAGAACCATGAAACTGTGGCACAAATGTAAATTTGGTGTTCTAGTTCCTAGGAAAATATTAAAATGTAAGTGCATGCTGCTGTTTGCTTAACAGCTCATGTGGTATAAGAGCTATTGTATGTTGCAGTCTGGTTTAATTATGCTACTATTTTTTCCCTTCCTTGCTGGAGCAGCTTACCTGAGGGGCATATAAACCACAGGTCTTTTTCCAGGACAGTAAAAGAGTGATAAATTGTGGGGAACCTGAAGGGTACATAATTTTTGAGGTCAACTCCTTTGGCATAATGGTTGCCTGTTTAAAACAATGCCATTTTAGTGTTTTATAAAATGGAGATCTCTCCTTTCTGTTTGCTTTATTTTGGGATAACTGCGAGGATTATGGTTAACTAATCTTAAGGGTATATAAATCATAACTATGCCTGTATGCGTTTCTGACTAGAAGTGTTTCTTGGCAACAACTGTTGAATTAAGCTGCAGACATAAGTCTGCTCTGTGAGAGTACTGCTTCTGTAAAATTAGAGTTTTACGATTCATGTATGAGACTTTACAGCTCATTCTACTACAGCCTGGGAAACTTTTGGTTTTGGAAAATACAGTATCTGCCTCAATTTCTTGGGGAAGGAAGAAGTCTGATGTATTCTTTCGCAGTCCTTCATCATGAAGAAACTTGGCGGCTTTTTTCGGAGTATTTTGCCTTTTACAGCATCTCGCATAATTGACAGGATACTTGCTAATGAACTCAAAACATACTAATAATTTATTTCTTACAAGAAAGGTGCCTAGAGATGTTTTGGCTCAGTTGTGTATTGGTGTGGATGTGATTCCATATATTTATGTTGGCATTCATTTAAAAACTGGTTGGATGGAGATTGGATAGCTCAAAGCCAGAGATGGTGGATCCCGACTGCAGAATAAAGCACGTTTTTGAAATGTGGGAGTATTGCAGTCAAATGTAGTGTGGTAGGGTAGGGTGGGTTGCAAGACTGGCCTTAGGCACTTGGTTACTTTCCAGTTAATCTTGTGATTCAAGTACACTAAATAAATAAACTAACCTTTTCAGTGGGCATTTCCTGCAAAAGCTGTTCAAGTTGGGATGGGACAGTCTGTAATATCCTGAAAGAGGAGTAGGATCTAAGATAGCTGATGCCTGGCAAAAAGACTTTGCTTTTACTGCCTCATTTGTTGTGTGTCAGCTGCTTCCTGATGAATGTGATGGTGCAGTGATGGTCTCGCAGAGCAGCTCTCTTCAGAGCTTGTCTGTTAGTAACAGATTTGTGTGACTTTGAGCTTGGTGAGCCAGTGTGTCCTGTCTGTACCTGGAATGCTTTGATCCCAGTGATGAATAAATATAGTTCTTCACAGGCGTCATTTAAAGGATCTATACTAATTATCTAATTGTTCAGTTGGCTGAAATGTGAGGATTCAGATAAAATTAGATTTAATCTAAATAATGTGTATTATTTAGCAAAGGTTTTGGAGCAGCTCATCCTGATTGGCTCAGAATCAATACTTGCACTGTTCTTGATGATCAATTTTTTCTCTTTATAACTAGGAGAAATGGAAGAAGAGATGGAAAATCCAGAAATGGTTGACTTACCAGAAAAACAGAAGCATCAGCTACGACATCGTGAGTTGTTTCTCTCACGGCAGCTGGAATCTCTGCCAGCTACACATATTAGGTAATGACTATTTTCTTCCAGTGCTTTTTATTCAAAAACCAAATGGCGTTATTATTAGTCAAGTATTCTTCAATGTAAGATTAAATTCTGTGTACAACTTCAGTAATACCATCTTGTGAATGACATGCGCATTTAAGATATCTTTTCATAAAATGTGTTTCTCTCTTTTTTTAGAGGCAAATGCAGCGTTACTCTGTTAAACGAGACAGAATCCCTTAAATCATATCTGGAACGGGAGGTATGAACCATTTTGTGAATTGTCAAGCTTGAACAGTTTATTCTGGCACAATTTAGGATTGGTGGCTTTCTGCAAGATTTCGAAGAAGGTGGTTCTTTCATTTCTACATGTCCTGGGTATCGACAGTGGGAAGCTTCAGGCTCCGTACAGTTTTCGTTCTGATATAAAACTTTGTGGATCTAGAGGCCAGACATGTTGTTTACGTCCTTGGGACAGTAAGCTGTCTCTTCTTCTGTAAAGAGCACCCTACTTGCTCGTTAGCCTGGCAGTCTGAATATTGAAACCTGTAGGCTCATGCCCCAGACAAGACAGAGTGGGAGATGCAGTAACTAGAAGAGGGAGCAAACCAGCAAGCTGTATTTCTATATATTTGCTTTATCCTGAAATCTTACAGATTTATGTTAATATGGTTTAAGCTTGATCTTGCCTCAGATTTCTGAGGAGCTTAGTTCCCTGGGTTTTGAGTTCACTGTTCAAAATGCCTGTAGTCATTCATATGCCACCACAGACACTTAGATCCTTGAAAAACTACTTGTCAGCTGACTTCTGAGTCCTGCAGAAATTTACCCAACCTGGCTCTTTAAAGGCACCTCAAACCAAAGACTTGAAACTGAATTGTCTTGCACTGTTAATCACTATTCGGAATATAAATCTTGGGTTTTACTTATTCAGGTATTTTGGGATTTTAAAAATTGCTATTGTAAGTCTTTTAAATATATTTATATGCCTTTAATTGTGGATGGGCCTCTGGCTGCCAGCTGGGTTAGACGGTCTTGGAATTTGACAATGTGGGAGCTTTACTTTGGGAGATTAGCAAAGAATTTCAGTATATTATTATTTGAATACATCTGCAAGCATTACATTTGCATTTGAAAACATTAAAATGTTATACAGGGGAGGAAATCTTGTGGTTAAAAACAGTAGGGTAATGGTCATTACCAGCCTTTAAGAAACAAGGAGAAAAGAGGTCATTTTTTGCAAGGAGCATGCCGTAGTCTGCCTCATAGTTGGCCTTTCTTTTTAAATGCTTTTTTAGCTTTCATTAGTATTTATTTAAGCATAAGATTAATTTTAATCTGATACTCTGGTTTAAGAGAATTTTAAACAAAGCACAGGGATTGAATGGTCGGGTTTCTCCTTGGAATGTGAAACCAAAAACATGTCGAGCCTGCTCAGGGCTGCCAAATGGCAGCGCATCAAACAAGGGCTGTTGTATTCAGAAATGCTTGTAACCAGCTAGTAGCCTAGGATATGCCAATTTCAAAGCAAAAGTTAATAAAACTGAAGTTATTTTAGATTTACTAGTACCCAGCTTTTAAGTAGTGTTTGTTCTCAATTGCTCCCAACACATTTTTATTATCACTAACGTTACAGGTATGTTGAGACAGAGAAGGGAGCTGCCTTCCTCTAGTTATGCAACTGCTCAGTTGCAGATGTAGGAATAGAAAGAGGTTCTTTTTTTCATCCTTTTGAACTCTCAAGATGCAAGATGAATGATGCAGGTTATTTTTGAAACTGAGCAAGCATGTTGAGATTTCACAGAGTGAGAGAGTTCCCTGAATGTGTCCTGTCACTTAACACGGTATTTTGCTGTGGTGCAAACTAACTTGGACAGATGGTAAAGAAATTAAAAGCCTAGGAACACAAATGTGCTTGGGTGAGGGTAAAGAGATTAAGAAAAGGAGACAGATAGATGTTGCCTGGTGTATTCCTAGCACTGGATGGTATTGTTTTGAACTGTTTCTTCTCCACCCCTCCACTGTTCTCAATCCATTCTTTGCTTTCAAAATGTTTTGGATATTTTTTTAACATGGCTTCTGTCAATAAAACCTAAGCAGTTTTAGGGATTCTGTCATTGGGTTTCTTGTACATTATGACCACTAAAAGTAGGTTTTCAGCCCAAGGCTGTCTACCTTGAAGGAGGTTAAATGTGCAGACAGAAATTTTTAGGGAGATAGTAAGCATAGCAAAAATACATTTGTGTTATCTCTGTTTTCTGCCTTCCACCCTCTCTCTGTCATCTTCCTCAGGAAGATTGCTCTGTTACATTCGAAGAGCAGGCCTGAAGGAGGACCGGCATGGGCTTTTTCACTATGCTTGGCAAAATTGGGTTTGTATCAGGAGTGAGGAATTATTAGAAAAAGAAGAAAAGCAACTGGAAAACCTGAATTTCCTGTGACTACTGAATTGCCAGGGAGATCAAGAGAAGGACATAGCCAGTTATGGCAAAAGCGTTAGATTTCCCTATTCTGCAGGAAACTATTTTATATGTGCTATCTGTCTTACTGCTCTGCTAGGATATATCCAGAGGCTTGTGTGAATTTTGCCTGCTGCATAGATGTCTGGCATTTTGGTATCTTTTGTTAAAAATAAAATGTTATATAGTTAAAAATATATTTCCCTTCCTTCACCCGAACTGACTTCATGAAAGTAAGTTTGCAAGCTGTAATGAACTACTGAATGTACTTTCACTTGAAGCCTGTTTTATTTTACCAGTTCTTCTGCAGTATCTCAGTGGCTTTGGTTCTTGGATATAACTACGGGTAGCTTAGGGGCTTGGGTAGGGAACCTCTGAGCATATGTGTCTGTAACACTTCGGAGAAGTAGGAAGTCATGGTTTAATTTTAACTCTTGGCAGGTCATTTTAATTTTTCCAAACATGTTGGATGTTTTCTATGATCTGAAATTAAAAGAGAAAACCCTTCTTTTTCTTCTCTGCTGCAAACTCGGCATACACAGTTTTGACAGCTAAAGTGAGCATGGAGGATTTTGAGTGTTATTTATTGTGAACATCACTCTTCTTGTGAAACCCTTCTGAAAAATTGTTCTTATCACATAGTGGTGATCAAGAGTTCACACGTGCTTTAGAGTATACAAGGATCTACTTTGTTCCTTAGACTGTAATTTGCATTGGCACTAAACTGACATTTATTAATATTTTCAGAAATCCCACTCAGTTTGCATGAGCTCAATTTCATGCTTCTATGGGGGAAGATGGTAGTGGTATTGCATTACCTCTGGGGATTACAGTCTGTCCTATATTCACACTTGAGCCCCTGAACTTCCATCTTTTCCCTGTTGAGGAGGCTGAGTTGGGGAGGAGAGCCCAGAGGCTTTTCATTTTTTCATTGAATCTGCTTGATTTGAGACAAAAGAAGATGACCTGAGACGGGTAAAGAAGGATGGGGTTTATTTTGTAGGAAAAATTCATAGGGATAATTAGTAAAAGGGAAGCAATAAGGCATCTCGCTGTCAAATACCATGGGAGAAAACTCCTCCACAATGAATGACCTTCCCTGGCCAAGAAAGGGCTGTGTTAAGAAATCACCTGTAGAATGGCCTTCCTTGGGGGCCCACTGTGATATTATACTACAATGTTTGCTTTGTGTATTTACTGGGCAATGTGCCTGAAAAGCATTAATGGTGCACTGCATATACTTTGTCCTACAGTTGTTTTGGAGCTGGAACAAATGAAACACTTGCTATATTTATAACATGGAAGTTTGCAAGACAAAAGCTTTTCCTATGTTTTAATTATGCAACAATACATCCTCGAAATATTGTAGTATCTTGAACTTGTGTATGTCAGGGAGCAAGAGACCCAGATTTCTTTAAGCAGCTCTAATATAAATGAGTTTTCATCTACTGTGAAGCTCCCTTCTGTCAGTGGGTTGTTCTAAATTGGCCCTGGTGCCTGTGGGAGTAGGAATCAATTCTGTCAGGAATGTCATTCATTTAGGATGCAACTAAATCCCCCCACCCCAAACCCAACCACAGACAACTCTTCCAGTTGACTTGACTGGATGTTAGAACAGCATTTTGCCAAGTGTTAGCTATGACTTTTATCCTGTTATTGTGACATAACATGAGATTATTCCTGCCCTTGGAGTTAATGCTTTCATGGTGGGGAAATGGCATGTTTTCTGCTGGAGGGGATTGGTGTGAATTCCTGTCTTGCCTCTTGCGCTGTGCTGCATAGGTGAGACCTTTTTGTGCAGTAGCTTTCTCAGATAGCAAAGGAAGTTTGGCTGGCTTGCTTGCCGCTCTTCTATCTTTTTTCCTCCCTTCCATAAATGTTGATGTCTTCCCAGAAAATTGCTGATTTTTATTAAAATTGGAGCAGAAAATAAAGAGCTACCATGTTTAACACTCTTAAATTCTGTAATTGGATGCTGTATACATGTAAAGAAAACATGGGAGACCTTACCTCTATCGCATCAGTCTTAGATTAGTATGTGTGATGTGCAGGGCTGGGGAACAGAACTAGTATGTATCTTTGAAGCCTTCGCCCACAGACCTTTTGCCATGTGACTGGAGAAACTCACAGAAAACTCCTTTTTCGGGCTTTGTGTGACAGATTGGGGGACTCTTCCCCCCGTCACCTCTTCATGAAGATGAACAGGGCTTGAAACTGGTGCTGGTTTTGTCCTATTTTTTGTTGCATGCTGTTGACACATACAAATATAGGGAAAGGGAAAGTGAGGTGAGCATGAAATGAGATGTATTTAAACAACAGGGCCTGCTATTGACACAGAAATATGTGGAAAGGGAAAATGAGCCAGAAAACTGAGATGTGAAAAATGGCACATCCTGTGTTTCTGTTTAGAAGCACGTCTCTTTCCTGGTGACAGTGTTGCTGTGGGTGGAGGTTACAAGAGGTCTGTTATTTCATATATCATCCCAGAGCCTTCTTCCTGCCCCATATCCCATACTACACCTTGATGGAGCATACCTGGTCTCCGATGTGTCACTCAATAGCTATAGCTAAGTACTTACCCATGCAGAAAAGTTTAACTACTTAGACTGTGCAGTTTTAAGTAGCTAAAATTTTGGTTCTTTTCTTTTCTCCACCTGGGCAGGACATTCTCATTCTCGTATGACTTCTTGCTTTAATTTTACACACTTAGGTGACAGAAGCCAAGCAGGTTTTTTAGCTTTTTTCTCATCTGCTTGAACAAAAGCAACAAATTGGTGTATTGCCACCTGCAGCTAATTACTGCTGCTGCCAAATCTGCTACCGCTCTCCCAATAATGAGCAGAAGGAAACACGGCTGTTTAAGCTTAGATGGTAGCAGACAAGAAGTTGGTCAGCAGTGCATCCCTGTGAGAAGGAAAGCCACCCACATCCTGGTCTATATTAGCAGGAGTGTAGCGAGCAGGTGGAGGAAGGGATTCATCCCCTCTGTCCATCAATTGCAAGACCATTTCTTGGAGTGCTGTGCCCAACTTTGGGCCTCCCAGCACAAGAGGCACATTGATATACTGGAGCAAGTCCAGCAGAAGCCACAGAGGTGGTCTGGGGCTTTATGTCTCTGTGGGGTGATTCGTTGGTATAGCTGTAATGCTCTGAAGTTACGCTTTAGTTTGTAACTATTTTTGTGCAGATAAATTACTAGCATCTAGTTACTGGTATTTTGATATATGGGAAAGTGCAATTTTGTGTTCTGAAATGGTTGATGTTACTAAGAATTACCTCCTGGCTCTTCTGAGCCCTGTCTCTGCAAGAGGAGCTGTGTTCATATCAACTGCAAAGGCTGTATATTCAGGCAATGGATGTTCTTGAGGAGGCCTCTTACCCTTATGATATAGAAGAAAGTGGCAGTGTTTAATATAGGGTTTTAAAACTGGTGGTCTCATGTATTGTTTGTTCACCCAATTTTAAAATCTCTATGTAGGTAGTAAAACCAAACTTAAAATGTAAAAGCTTGCTGGTATGTGCGCAAAGCTGAAAGTGAAGGCTAATAATACTGTTTACTTTTTTGCTTTTGTTTTATTTTTAGGATTTCTTCTTTTATTCGCTAGTATACGATCCTCAACAAAAGACTCTACTTGCTGATAAAGGAGAGATTCGAGTTGGAAACAGATACCAGGCAGATATAACAGACTTATTAAAAGAGGGTAATTTCCATGATTTATTGAAATTAATAGGCCATGTCGAATGTGGCTGCTTTTGTGTGTGGCCTGCATAGGTGTGGGAGATGGAGGTTTCCACTGCCAGGTCATGCATACAGCGATGGCCTGGTTTGTGAGTGGCTGAAGCTGTTGCCCACTGAACATGATTAGTTATGTCTCAAACCAGTCTTCAAGTGGGCATTTGTCCAAATCGTAAAAGTTGTTGAAACAAATTGAATTAATTGGCTCTCTCAGAGCTTGCACTCTTTTTATTAAGAGATTTCAGAATTTCCATGGGAAGCACAAATTTCCATCGTGTCTGTAAAGCCTTTTGTGTTTTTAATCAAGCCTCACTTCCCTATAAGAGCCCCTCCCAGATTACTGCCAATTAAATGCTGTCTCCCCTCATCAATTTGCCCATTATTGCTGGGTGCCTTTTCCTCGGAGCCCTCTCCCCATCTGCAGCATTGGCCGCCAGCCTAGACCTCTCACCTGCAGAACAGGCAGGAGGAAGGATTTGCTGGCCTGAACGTGATGTGAGACCTCAGCCTGCCTCCACTGTATCACGGAGCTGTAGGACCAGGAGGACCCTGGCCCAAGGAAAAGGGGGTGGTAGTAGTAACTGTTACTGGTTACCAACTTCAGATTTATCTTTGCACTACCGTATAGATACAGAAGTGGATGGAAAAACTGAGAGAGATGGGGAATATTGGCATCTAATTGCTCCTTTCTGAGACCCTCGTAGTGGCATGGGGAAAGGTCTGTCTGTATGCTCCTCCTAAGAGAGCAGGGGTTGTGACCCATGTTGGGAGGACCTTCTCCAGACTGTACGGGCAGAGATGTGAAAGCAATGAGGCACTCTGCTCTTTGCTTAGGAGCTTTGCTGATATTGTTAGCCTCATGTTAGAACAGACAAACGAGTTGTTCAGGACTCTTGTTTGGTTTGTCTATGAAACTGGTATGTATTCAGCAGCTGGGCAAGCCTCCTAAGCGAGGATGAACGAATTTGAAAAGCATTCTCTTCCCTCAGTTGGCCAACATGGGGCTTCAGAGAAGGATAATCTCCAGATGTTTTAAAGGGAGCAGAAAAAAAAAAAAAGGCTTAGTAGCTCCTATATTTTTCCAGGGTATTTTGGTTTGTGTAGAGTCAGGAAAATGGAAGCAAGAAAGTCTGATGCCATTATTTCCCCCTTAGAAAGCAGCTGACAGAAGTTGAACCAGCTACTTTTTGCCTGCTCAGAGCAGCTGGGATTGTGTCTGTTTTTCTGGAACTGTTGGAAGATGAGGGAGAAAGAGAAGCTGGGGAGACGGGCTGAAGAGAGATTATCTAGTTGGGAGAAGGATGTGCTCTGTTTCCCATTATGTGTGTCCTTTAAAGGCACTTCAAAATCTGATTGCCTGATTCAGATGAGCTGTGTTGCTGTGTCTGTCAAGCTGAAACTGTCACAGCCAAATGGGTGAATGGAATTTTCACAGTGTCCTGTTAGCATAACTGAGATGGGTTAGCAGTTACATTATTGTGAGATCAAAAAAATCTGGAAAGTACTTTTATTTTAAAGCAGCCATACCAAGCATTTCTAATTTGTTTTTTTTCAATCAGGTGAGGATGATGGAAGAGATCAGTCAAAACTTGAAACAAAAGTTTGGGAAGCCTTTAACCCGCTAGTAGACAAGCAGATAGACCAGTTCCTTGTGGTAGCACGGTAAGAGCATTTTACCTCTCCTTTTAATAAGTAAATGTTAGTAACTCTTCCAAGCACTTTTTATGCTCTTTTTTTCTTTGCTAGTGTGAATGCTGGTTTTGGTTGCTTGATTCACTTGCTCCATTTTGAAATGATGGACATTTTACATGCCTTCCTGGGAAGTGCATGACTTTAGGAACAGCTACTCGGATTTACAACTTAGTTAATCACTTTCATAAAAGAAAAGTAAATGGCCTATTAAAAACTCTCCTGTAATTGGTGAGGTTTTTCAAATACTTTGGCCAGCATGCAGAAGGCTTAGTGAATGGACTAAGTTCTTGACAGTTCATTACTCTGTCCTTTTTCTCCCTTTTTCAAATACAGTGACATTTTAACATCCATTAATACTTTTCTAAGAAGTTTGGTAAAGTGTTTTTGATGGAGTGTGGATGCTTTCTAATGCCTAGATTCCAATAGGTAGGCACAATAAAGTAAAACCCTGCAAATCTGTACATGTGGTGAAATGTGTGCTTTTATTTAAGCCCAAAGCAATATTTGTTGATCAACTTTTGCTTTTTAAAATGCTCTTGAACTTTGTCATTGATATGCATTTATATGAACAGAAGCCTATACTAAATTTTAGGCTGTCATGGCAACTGGTGACTGAATAATTTTAAAAAAAAAAGGTAATACTCTCCAAATTCTGTGTCTCAGGTAAGTTTGTAGGATTGTGGGAGGAAAGTTGTATGAGTAGATGGATAGTTGGACCTCTTGATGTTTTTAGTCAGTGGAGCAAAATATCATTGGATATGGTTAGGAAATGGGTGTGTAAAGTTACAAGCTGATAGTAATATCTGGTTTGCTAGTCTTGAAAGTTCTGTTTATTGGTCATGGCATCTGATAGACATGGACTGCCTGCTTCCATGGGCTAAAGCCCTGGAAAACTGAGTTACGCCGATGTTTCAGATACTCTGTTGAAATGGGCCCTGGTTCTGTCAGCCTTTTGGTTCTTGTTTTTTTCCCTCTTGAGTTATCATGCTTTGTATTTCCTCCTGCACTTTACTGAGTGTGGCATTGCTGTGCCCGTTGTGGGGTAAGTTCATGGGATGCTCCCCAGAGAGGCAACGCTAGAGCTTGTGTGTAAGAATCTGCCTGGACAGGGCCCTCCAGTTCTGAATTGAAGCTCTTGGATGATGCAATGAGAGTGCATTTGTCAAACATCATTCAACATGCTGAATGATTCAAGTTCAGGGAAATAACTGGTGAAAAAGTTGAGGAAAATGAGGGAGATGGTGAAACGTGATGTTTCAGGTACCCAAGGTAAGACGTGTATATACTCAGAAATACACCCAAATCTGGTTTTCTATGTACTTTGAAGATTAAATTTCCTATTATGAACTTTGGCAAAAATCTTTAAAGATGGCTAATCTGAATTGCAGCACTTAAAAACCTTTGTATGGCTTCTTAGGCCTTGTGTGCGAGTCCAGTAACAGGAAGCCAAGAGTGAAACTAGGTTGGTTAAAAATGTTAATCGCAGTCTAGAGTGAAGAAAATACCATAGTTCAGAATCCATTTTTGCCTTTGGTTAAACATGTGCTTTTTGCTGTACATACTTTTTTAAGGTTCATAAAGCTCATAGTGTTCTGGCTACACTAAAGAATCACCATAAAATTCAGGCTCTTGGAAGTTTCACTGTGCTACTTGCACGATATATTGCTGTTTCTCTTGACCTGTGCCAACAGTAAAGTCAAACTGGCTTAACTAAGTGATTTATGTGCAACAGATTAATTCTACTTCATCAGATGGACATAGGGAAGTGGATGAAAGTGGGGAGAGGATAATCTCCACCAGCGATGCGGAACAAACAGATGAAGTAGTGATGAGGAGAGCTGGGATATCTCCAGCAAAGGGTATTCCTGCTTCTTAAGGGACCCTTCTTGACAAGGCTGTGATTTCATAGTTGCTTCTAATGAAGTGAAGTACAGGACACAACCAAAAAGCTAGGAACTTTTTCTGGGTTAGCTTTCATCAGGATTGATTCAAATTGTCACTCAGCCACACAGTTTTCCGGTGTTGGTGTCAGTAAGACCCAGCAGGAAGCCAGGGGGTAGAAGTGCCCCGGCAGACGGGGGTTTTCACATGGGTTGGTGGTTTAGAGTGACCGTAGAGCTGTTTTGTGATGGGGGTTTCCACCTTGTGTAGGCTTTTGGTGGCGAAGCTGTTTTTAGTAGCTCTTTCTGGCTCTACACTGCTGCCCACTGGGTTTGCTGATTACAGCGGCTTGAAGGTGCATGCTGTAATGAGAATCACTGAAAAGATCAGTATAAAAATTGCTTCTGTCCGGAATCAGTAAAGTGATCCAGTTTATAATTAGATAACACACACACACAAAGAATCAGTTCATCTAAAGCTGTGGATGGGGGAGTTGTGAAGGGATGGGGATGGAGAGGGCGGAAGTGTGAATCGCTACAGGAACTTGGGTGGGAGAGGCTGTTTTGGATTTGGGCCAAAATTAGAAATTTGATGACAACTGCTTAAGCGTTTACCTTTCCTACTCCTGCACTGCTTGGCACTAGTTTGTTCCTCTGTGCGTTCAGCTAGTTTGGGGAAGTGATCTGAGTGGAGGGAAAAAAAAACCCACCCACCGTTTTTTTGTTGTAGTAGTTGCTCAGAGGAGTTCAACTCCAGTTCACTGTGCGGAAGTGCAAGTGTTTCACCCATGTGGTGTAGCAAGCAGTGAGGGGAGTGGGAATTGTTGCAACCAGTGTTTCTGTTAAAGATTTATCCGACTAATTTCTTTAGGAATAAAATGAAGAGCGTGGGCACTGTGGCCTCAGATGGAGGAATGGCTGGCATTGGGAAGTATTTGAGAATTGCTGTGTTCTTATGCAGGCGATATAATATATATGTATTACACAATATTGAGTTGTAAAATGAAGATTGGTTTTAATTTTACTGAAACTTTTAGGAAAATACTTGCATTACTGCTTTTTTTTCTCTCTGGTCTTGGCATCTGTCTCTACCTTTGGACAATGCAGCACAGCTCATGCCAGTGTGGGAGAGACTTTTGCCATTCATAAAGCTTGCTTGTGCTCAGTTTCTGTTAAAGCTTAAGTCTGTTGAGAGATAAGGGATAAGAGAGTAGTTCAAAACTCCCCGTTTGTGATCCGTGAGTCTTTCACTGTTTTCCCCTCCTACGCCTAAACCTCTTTGGTGATATAAACTAAGTAGAGTAAAGTGTTCATAATAACAAACCACATCTGAAGAGAACAGTCTCTGGCTCAGAACTAGTGCCAAACCATGTAGTCTTGTTACTGAGAAATGGAGTCTGCTGATCTCAAAAAGTGTTGGTTGGGTGTTTATATTTATGCTTGTTTTGCAGGCGAAGTTAATGCTCTGTTTAATCTCTCTCAGGTCTGTTGGTACGTTTGCCCGAGCACTAGATTGCAGTAGTTCTGTCAGACAGCCAAGTTTGCACATGAGTGCTGCAGCAGCCTCTAGGGACATCACGCTGGTAAGATTTTTTTTTTTTTTTTTTAAGAGGACCTTAAGTTTTTGAGAGATGCAAAATACTCATCTTGGCAATAACAGTTGACAAAGAGAGAAGGGCAGATGGATTGTAATTGTGGCCTGCTGTGAAGCAGATCCTGTCTTTGTAAAGGATCCCTTTATTTACATATGAAGTAACTTTTTCTGGCCTTGTGCCTCCTATGATCCATCATGGATAATTCTGTGAGAGAATTTTTTGTTTTGTTTTGCTTTACAGCCCATCTCTTGCATGGGCTTAGTAACTGTCTTGAGAAGAATGCAAATGATTATCTGCCTGTCTGCAATGTCGGAATGCCAGAATGCCACTCCTCATCACTTCCCCAACACCAGACTGTCACTGGCATCCTTGGGCAAGATTGTCTAGGGGAAAAGCTTGTGGTCAGATAAGAAGTTTCAGTTGATCCAGTTCTTCCTTTTGACAAGCTCCATTTTAGAGTACCTGAGGAGTGGTGACATTGTTAATATTTTATAACCATAAATGATTCTGAATAGACAGAGGAAAGGGAATACTTGAACTTCTAGGCTAGAGAAAGTTTAATGAAAATTTTAATAAAATTTATGAAGTCTCCAGAGAACTGTTAGCAAAGCCTCACCTCATAACTGGAATAATGTGAAATCATATATAAAACAAATTCTAGGCTATAAAACTGTAGATTAATTATGCACGTGCACAAAACTGGTATGATGAAAGGCAAATAACATCCTGATTAAAACTACAGAAATCAGGAAATAAAGCCAAGCTTTCATTTACTAATACCAATCCCTCCCTCGCAACATGTTCTCAGCCCTTGTAAATCACAAGTTGCAGACAGTTGTAGCTCAGCTTTCTGAGGAGTAATTGCTCCAGGGAGTAATTCTTTTTTCCTACTCAGCTATGATGTGTGACTTGACTTGAATCTTTTGGAATTTCTGGCGTTAGGGGGGACTGTATGTGTGTATGGCTACTCTTAAATTTCTTATATGCAATTTTTGTGGATTATTTGACAAAGAAAGTACATGGCTAAGTTTATTAGAAAATTTGACCGTGGATCTCTGTCTTCATGCACTGTCTGTGGATGGTGCCTAACAGGGCTGCTCAGTCCTGGGGTGAGTGGGTCTCCATCCTGTGCATTTTCTTAACAGTAGTGCTACGGTGGTGGTGCTGGTGAGTAACTAAGTGGAAATTATTGATATGCAGGGGCTCGTGTTCCAGAAATTCCACTATTGTTAGTGAATGTTAGACTAGTACGCTGACAATTACAGTGAGTCTGAGGTTGGAACAAGTTTTTACTGACTCTGTGTTAGATATAGAATACTGCACCCTCAAATCTTGGTGCAGAATTTCTGTTATTGCTGTTTTACTGTTAAGCATTTTTTCCCTTTAGGTGCTTGTCCTTACATTTATCTTTCTCTTTTACAACCATGTAGTTCCATGCTATGGACACTTTGCACAAAAATGTCTATGACATTTCCAAGGCAATCTCTGCGCTTGTGCCACAAGGTGGGCCAGTCCTGTGCAGGGATGAGATGGAGGAGTGGTCTGCTTCAGAGGCAAACCTTTTTGAGGAAGCACTAGAAAAATATGGAAAAGATTTCACTGACATTCAGCAAGATTTTGTAAGTATATAAAATGAGGGCCCACATGGTTACCAGTTCTGATCAGTGACAGAGCTGGTTTACAGCTTGTCTAAACTGTGTTGTTTTCCTTTGTTAGAGAAGAGGGCTTTGAACTGGAGCATGTGTCTTGCTGTAAATTGGGGAAAGTCAGACCTCATACTGATGACAGCCTGTTGTACAGTCAGAATTTTAAATTACAGATGATAGCTTTTCCTTTAGAGACGTTAATTTAAAATCATCCGCTCCACTACAGCTGAGGGAGGATTTAGGAGACTGTTGTGACAGCCTAGCTGCTGTAGATTAATTTGTGTTTGAAGGAGAATAAGTACTGGGCCTTCTGAAACATGAAAACTTAGTCACTTTTATAATGCGATTTCAGAAAGGGCCTTTTGAAAGTTTTAGAAAGGAATCTTGGGCATCCAAGGGAAGCGCCCTGTAGTTTGGCCAAAGCTCCACCCTAGGTGCTCAGCCTGCAGATTGAATGGAGCAGTGTAAAGAGAGCGAAGTTTTATTGTATTGTTGTTCGAGTCCTCTGGAACAAAACAAGTAGTTTCAGTGTTGCTTGTCCTGTGCTCTAATCTGCTAGAAGAGGGACTTGGAAACAGCACATTGCTGAAATCCTCGTGCTTCTCACACAGAGAACAGAGCCGGCAGGGCACAATTCTGTTAGTAGTTATTATGTTTTCTTTTAAATGGGCCAGCTCCATAGAAGCCGGGCAAATCAGAACCGTGATACTGCAGTTGTGGCTTTTGCTTGAGTCAGTGCTGCTCAAGCAGAGAGAGTCTGAGCTAGTGGGCTCCCTTCCACATTGTGCTTCTCTTGAATGGTTTACTGTGGAGCCAACACAGCATGAAGATTTACCTGTAACCTGTGCTACTTCTACACTGAGAGCACTAGTTTTTGAAAGGGCATTTAATTTAACCTGGGTCCCATGTGCATCTAATGCCCTTAGGAGCTTCAAGACACTGCCTTTTTGTTGGGAGGGTTACTAGTTGCAAGACTCTGCTATAAACTGTCTAAGGAATCCTGTGAGACTGTGTGCCAGTGCCCTGCAATGACTGCTGCTTTTCCTTTATGTCCTTAGCTCCCATGGAAGTCCTTAACGAGCATAATAGAATATTACTATATGTGGAAAACTACAGATGCAGGTAAGAGAGTCAGAATCACCTCTTTCATTCTAACAGAAGATGTTTTTCTTGCCTTTGAAACCGAGCGTTGTTGCTTTATTCTCCCTGTTGGGGTTCAGCTTTTCCAAGAGGTGGGTTCTATAATCATCTGAAGCACCGAACAATCTCTTCTCACTAAACTCATCAGCCATTCTGTAGGTACAAACACATAGCGTTGGCATTTTTGCTTTCTTCTCATGTTTGCTGCTACTTGATTTGTTTGAAGCTTTCAAATGTCTGTTTTGGAGTTCAGTAGTTTGAGGAAGGGAGTACAGTTAACTTCTGCTTGTAGAGTTCAAGGTCAGCTTTAACTTCAGTATTACCTTTTTATGGGGGGGTGGGCAGTTGCTGTACAACAGGCACCCATGCTAATTCTCCACCTCTGCCTGCCCATGACTTTGATTGCAGATACATGGAGGCTCCCCCATGTAAGCACTGCGAGTAAAGTGTTTGTCTGGGAAGCGTTTATGGCTCGAATTCCCAGACTCGTTAGACTTGAGAATCAACTTTGACTATTACAATAATTTTTACCTCTATTTGTTTAAATATGAAGGCTGCTTGGTCCCTTAAATAAAGCGAGAACAATGCAAGCAGCATGCAAAATGTTGCAGAGTATCAATTGCTGAAAACTACTTATAATATTTAATGGGAAAATTAATTAAAAGAAGGGAGAAATATAGAATAGATTTTTATTATAATTATCGGTACTATGTTTAGGCATCTATTTGAAGTATTAGAAAAAGTGGAGTTATAAAAATGTCCTGCCTTAACTTGCTTCATTGGAAATTCAGCCTGGAATAAAGACTAGATGCCTGAGGCATTGACCAATATTTGGAATGTGCTATATTTGGGCACCTTGGTCTGTAATGTGATTTTTACCATTTTCTTTCTGATTGGAACACTGTTTAAATTAGAGGGATCCTTAGGACAAGTAAGAACTCTTTTTTGCATCAATTCTGCATTACTTTTAAAAAAAAATATTAACTTCATCCTTATTCCAGTATTTCCCCAAATTCATTCTTTGATTTAAACTTTTCTGTCCGGTAAGGAAATGGGTATTAGGGAAGTGGGATGGTGATGGAAGCTGGCATGGTGGGGAGAAAAGGTGCTGGAGAAATGAGATCATGATCTTTCCTTCTCCATTGAGCTGTGTGTATTGTTGATACAGTGAATGCTGCTATATACTGTCTGACTACAGCTGTTTAGGAGATGATAGTTGAGTGTACTCAGCCTATATTTGCACTGAGAGGAAATTGTACTACGCTTAATATTTGCACTGAGAGGAATCCATTTATCTTCTTCCCTGCATCTTTTATCTCACCTCAGTTCTTTTAGTGATAAAAATCTATCTAGCAATATTGTAGGTATCAGAAAAAGTGAAGAAAGTTATTTTATCAGTCAGTGAAACCTAGAATCTTAGACTGTTGCATGAAAATGTCATCTCTGTGCAGTCAGAACAGCAAACAATAGTAAGAATTCTTGGGAAAGATTAAACCAAAAAGCATCTCTATACTGCTCAAAGTCCACGATACATTGGCAATGGTGAAGTTCTGTTTCTGCCCATCTTGAGGTAGTAACGATGGTGGTGGTGGGAATAAAGAATAGGTTTCTTTGGTGGTCACTTTTGCATACCCCAGGAGACAGATTGTGGAATACTGTCCCAGGTGTTGGCTTCCAGGCCTATGTGCTGGGAAGGCAAAGCAAGGGGAGAAACTGTGCCCTGATTAGGAAGTGGTTAAATTCTTTTGCCTTTTCCACTTCTCAGATCTTTCTTATTTCATAGACAAAGTTGCATAGGGGATAGTTGCATGAAAGACTTCGATTATTTGTTCTTGCAGCAATTAAAAAACCCAACAAACCTACAGTTTCTCATACTGTTTTGCTGTATTCCTATGCAGTGGGTTTTCTATCACGGTTATACTGAACCTTACATGTGCTGCCCAGCAGTGTACCACGGAGTGGGATTTGGGGAAAACTTCCAGTTAGGGGCTCTGCACTTAGGAAACAGTATGAGTATAAGCCGAACAGGTAGAAGTTGGAGGACAGAGATATCACATCAATTAAATCTGAACCGAGCTGAAGACCTCATCTCAAATTCCAAGCTTGTACCAAGCAAATAATACTATTAAACATTTATAAAACGCCTGGGAGAGCTATCTGTATATAACCACAAAGAAAGCATAGGACGTTGTAGTTGAAATAATGGTGTGTTACATTTATATTTTACTTGATGTGTGCAAAAGTCTGTGGCAAAGCACATCTCTCACCACTTTTTCCATCTCTTTCCTCATAGTGTTTTGTCTGCATAGATTCTTTCCTTAGTCTAATACCACAAAATGGTTCTGGGGCTAATAGCATTTTTGTACATAAGATATTGAAAATGTGCTAAGTAAGGATATGAAAGTGTGTATCCGAAGTTGTTTCACTTTCACTTGCCCTCTTTTTAAGAGGACGATTAAATTATATTCCAGGGCTGTATGCTATTGTCTTTAAAAATATTAATAACTTGCTCATTCTTGTAGAGTCTTTGGCTGAATGAACGTAAAAACGACTATTTAAACTGTCCATTTTTGTGAGTTACACAACGTAGTAATGAAGTTTTCTGCCATCAGCCAGGTGCCTGCTTTGATGAAAAACAGTTAGTTGGGAACTGTTTACATCCTTCTGTATTTCCTTTGAGATTTTCTTGAAGCGACAAAACACTGTCATAATCCTGAAGCAGAACCCATCTGCTTCTTGCCATTGAGGAAGCTAAATTTTGAGTTGACTTCAACAGAAGATCCTTTCTCAGAACTGAACAATAAGGTTTACTTATGCTTGGTATACCTAAGATCAAAAGACTTAATACAGCACTTCCTTGTCTTGTGAGTAGGACACTGTGATTGAAATACATGCAAATTGACTTGTTTTGGAGCATGCACTTGGATCTCTTATCCAGTAATTTTTATTTGGCTTCAGCTGTACTATGCTTTTGAAGGTTACCAGTGTAATTAGGAGTTCAGTCATCTCAAGAGAAGGACTTAACCCTCCCAGAACAGAACTGCTAGAAGGAGTAATTCTACTGCAATGTCAACTCAGAATTTGTTGTCTGATGTAGGCTCCTGAACATCTGTCAAAGTGATCCCAAGAGTTGTCCTGTCAAAGGCACCCTTTCAGAGTTATCCTGAAGCAAATGAGGGAGATGCATTCCAAATTCATTATCCCATGTCTCTTTTGAATGCATCCTTTTCCTGAGACAGATTTCCAGTGTCAATCTGCAAGACCATATATTTCTGATTCAGAAAGGTTTACAATGGCATCCGCTGAGTAATTGCTGTTCAGTCGCTTCCCCCAGTGATTTGAAAACTCTTTAAGAGTTGATGTCATGTTTGGGTATGCCTACACTTTCATTCAAAGTAAAGGCTGAGGTCTTAGGTAATTGTGAATTCCAGGGTGATTTTTTTTTTTCTAAAAAGTTCTTTAAATGCTTCTAGGGTTTTACATATCTTGAGGGGAGGTTCTAAAAACTTCAAACGTAGTGCTTTCCAACTGTTGAGATGCAGTTGAGAAGAGCTCGGGACATGGCAGTGGCAGGTGACTGTTTGAATTAGTCATATCCTTTCTGAGAGTTGAAGACTTTTATTTACTTTTTGCATTTTTATTTTACTTGAGGAGCATGTAACTTCAAGAGGAAGATCAAATATTATGAATTTCTACTGTTCTATTTCTTATGTGGAAGTGCCATTAGAAAAGTGTAGGAGGAATACACAGAGGATCGGTTCTATGGTATGCATAGTGTTGAGAAAATGTTGGAGAAAGTGGAAGTGCCATTATATTTGACTGCATGAGGTGGGCAGCTTAAAATAGTGACCTCTGGGTAAACATCTTTATTAAGGGAAGCAAACTTTCTTTGTACCTAGCCAAGAGCTGTGAGTGACATCTTAATGTAATGTACTAGCCTTCATAAAGTACTGTGTACTAGCAAAGTAGAAATAACATTAAAGAAATGTTTTTCTGCATGCATAGGACGTTTTATCCCCAAACACCTCCTGTTTAGCCTACAGTAACATGGAACTATGGCAGTTTTGGCAAGCAAGCGACAGAGACCGTAGGTACCGCACATTGGTGCTGAGACATGTTGCTGGAGCACAAGCAGCTGGAAACATTTCCAAATGCATCATGGACTAATTACCTTTCGTGTCCCACCTCCCCCATCTTCCAGCACCACTTGTATGTTCAGAGTTTCGAAAAAGAACAGACAGCATTGAAGTTCTTCTCTAAATCCAGAAAATACAATTTATCTTCCTTATCAACTAATAAAGGCTTAATATTTGGGGGTGTTTGAGGTGTCCCTGTGCTGTCTACCAACCCAGCTCTTGCATTGTGGACCTTGAAATATCCCCTGCATTCCTGGATTTCTTCTGTTATTTCCTCTTTATAAATGTTCACTCTTTAGAAAATGACTATAAACGTTTGCTCTGGTAGATCACTCTTTCAGGGTCCATGGGTAGAAAGAAAGATGTCAAATCTAGGGAGAGGATATATAAAGGACAGATGTTTGCACCAACTCTAATGTACAGTGCGTAGTATTTTAATCCCTTGGTCCCTGTGGGATAGACAAGTTGGTAATACCTCCCTTTTATAGCTGGGGAGAATATGGTGAGGTAAATAAGAGGATATACATATGATGTGCATATATAAATAACTCAAAGACTAAAGAGTTTATTTAGGCCAAACTACCAGAAAAAATTACAAATGTGCAGGGTTTTTTTTGTGGATGAGGACATTCATAAGTACATCAGACAACATTAAGGATTTATAGTGTAAATACACTTCAGGTACAAATCAGTTAATAACTGGCGAAGGACCTAGCAAAACACTTCCCTCTGTGAAGGAATTACTCTGAAATTGTGCATGACTACATTTCAGGCACCTTTCTTTTGCACCTTTTGGTATCGGTCACTGTCAGAAAATAGGAAACTCATCATATCTGGTCTATTGGTGTCCATAGCTGCAAGTACTTCGTGCAAAACCAACCTCTTCTTATCCAGTACATTGTGGTACCTTCTGAAAACCTTCAGTTTTCCTGGTATGCCAGTTTGTAATAAAGACGTGTGCTGCATGTCATGCTCTGCGCTGATCCCCAGGCAGCTGGCTGTAGGAGAGGGGCGTGTTGCTAGGTCCAGGTGACTTATGGCAGTTGTCAGCTCAGAGCTCGTGCCATGGTCATCAATCACAAAGCAAATCTGTGGTACGAGGTTAACATTCATCACCAGTTTACTAAAATGTTGCTTAATACCCTAAATTAACCATGTCTCCAAGGCAAATGACTTTACATTGTGGGTAGTAGAATATTTCAGCTGCTGGTAATGCGTTATGCTTGCATGAAGCTTTTTCCTTCCATTCATAGATTTCCAAAACTGTCATGACATAATGACTCTAGATAGGCCCCTTGGGAGCTTTTGTCAAGAAAACTGCAGCTTTTTCCCCCCACTAGAAATCTAGTGGAAATTAAACAAAAAACAAAAACAGCAAGACCAACTAGTTCTCCATCAGTGGAAGTTCCCTGAATTTCCTGCTTAGGTCTCAAGGAAATATGATTCTTGTACAAAGTTCATCAAGCAGTATTTTAAGCTGTTTATCAGTATCTGATGTTGGACTTCCTTATAATTCCTGGGGAGAGTATGAGCTCTGTGAATGTTCATCTGCTGACATAGCTGCCTATGGTAGTCTGTGCCTGGGGAAAGAAGACCTATTTTTCAGTCCCAGCTGTGGATGGAACAGCCTTCAGTTCGTGAGCAGAAATGCACCTGAGAGCATGCATTTTGTTGAAGGATATTTTGGCGGGGGCGGGGGGTAGTGTGTCTCTGGAAGGTAGAGGAGGGTGTCTGATGCTGTTGGAGAACTGTTGTCACAGCACTTTTTGAGGCCAATCGTTGGATGCTTTGGTTTCTTACATAAAATGACTTGGCAGGGTGGTTTTAAAATAATTCAGCTTTGAATTTGTGGTTTGTATTCAGAGGAAAGAACCTCTCTAGTTCCATTACCGACTGCCAGTACAATGTATATTATTGATTCCTCCAAGTCTGTGGGATTGATAAGGATTGTCTCCATGATGTCTTCATTTAGGTTTTCTTGAGGACAGTTTTCAGGTCGCTGTCCTTGTACTAGGCGAGATTTAATGGAAGCAATCTGGGAAACTTGCCTACACCAGCAGAAAGAAGTCAGCTTTTGGATGCAGCTCTCTGAAGATGTACCCATAGTCTCTGGATGTCTTTCAGAAGCTCTGTTTTCTCAACCCTTGTTCTCTTGTCTGACTTCATTCTTTGATTTCTAAGATAGGTTGACTTTTACTTGCAGGAAAAGGTAAGAGGGGAATTCTTTAGGAGTCTAGAGAGCATTGGCAAGGAACTATCAGGCTGTGAAATGGAAAACGGTTGCTGAAAACTGTCTCTATGATCAAAGCAAGCTTTATGCTTACAGGAAACTTACTTAATTGTTTCTATCATGTGGACATGTATGTGTGTCCATCATGTCCCTGTAGAAAAGATTTTTATGTTTGTCCAGTTCCTCAGTGACACACTCTTCAATTTTATTACATTTCCTGGTGCTTCCTGTGTCTATGAAGATACTGACTTTAGATTTACCATTATTTTCCTGGGCTGTGCCTTGAGGCTGCTGCATAGAAAATGTTAAGCTAGTATGTTTGTCTAGAATATCACCATGCTGCTGGTTTGTCTGGAAAAAAAAAGAAATTTCTTGTGGCTTTATGCAGACCACTGTTGGCATGGGCCCAGCTTTGAGCAGGAAGTTGGACTAGGGGTCTCCAGAGGTTGGTTATGTAATAAAGAGAAAACCTGAACCTCAGAATGTCTTTTACTTTTTAAATGGTGTGAAGGTTTGAGTTATAAAAGGAATTCTTGGCTAGTTAGTAAAACTAGTCTTTGCTAGTTGCCTACCTCTGCCATGTTCTTGTGGGCTATCAGCAAGTTCACAGCTGTAGCTGAAGAAAAAAAGCAGTGCTGTTGTGGGGGAATTTACTCCATTCATCCCATTGAAAGAATTCTGTAGTCCACTTAATCCAGAAATGTGAACAGAAGTTAATGGATGGTTGTACTGGAGTAGGGCCACGTAAAGAGACAAATGTTGTCTACTTCTGAACATGCATCCCCATGCTCTGACAGTCTGCTGCTTGTATGTGTTTTCATTTAAACATACCTCTGTTATGTTCCTTAATATCTCCTGGCAGTGGTGTTTTTCGTTAGGGGCTGGTTGTTTGGTATAGCTAGGTTCTCCCCTTTTTACCCCCCTTAATGATCTTTGCTACCTTTCCCCTGAGATTGGCACATGTGCCTGGAGTTTATTTCCTTTTTTTCCTCAAAGAGGGGTAAATGCGTCGTGCTTGTGTACCTAGAGCTGGTCACCTTTAGAAAGTGCTAATGTACAGGTTGCCCATGGCTGATGTTTAGTCAGAATTGATGACATACCATAATTAAAAAATGTCTTGGGTAATTCTGCATTGGTTTTGAGTTGAGCTCTTGGCAGCCTTAACTTTTAAAAGATCTTCTGTGTCACGCAGTCTTCAAAAGTGAGGACTATAACAAAAAAGTCTTCGTTCAAACTCAACTCTTTGAATTGGTTGAGCTGTTGAGGAAATACGATGGAGAGGGTGCATTACTGTACCTGTTATTGTCCAGTTGGGGAATATTATCATGGAAAGCAAACATCAACTGGTATGTCAGACCTTACTCTGCAGCAGGGGAAGGCAGGGGGGGAAAGAAGAGATTGTGGGAGGAACAATACATGAATTGGTATGGAAGTGAATGGGAATGAAAAGTTTGTCCTTACAAGTAGCAGATTATCATCTCTGACTTTTTGAAAAAGCTGTGTACATAGTCATTTGATGCCCGCAATTGTTTTCAGTGGATATTTTCCTGTTGGAAAAGGATTTTGTGGTAGCTGCTCAGTGAAAGGAAAACTTCATTGTTTGTTAATAAGCACTAAAGTTTTTACAGGTATATTACTTGACTCCCAGGTGAAATAGTCCTTATTTTCTTTTTATTCTAACTTTTTTCTTTTCTTTTTAAAGAAACGTTTGAAAGCAGCAGAAGCAGAAAGCAAGCTAAAACAAGTGTATATACCCAACTAGTAAGTATCTTTTTGTATTATTTTGTTTTTGTAGAGGGTCTGGTGTAGCAGTTTCCATGGCCTGGTAGTGTTATGTATTTGCTTTAATTACATAATGAGAGACATAATTGAACAAACATGTCAGAGAACTATTAAATTAGGTTGCCAATATAACGAACCTTCTGTTGATGCTTGAATAGGCTGGAATTCCTTTGTAATTTAGCTGAGTTAATGCTAACCACCCTGATGCTAATAGGGGACCTGTGGAAGAAAACACGATAGCTTTAGTAGTTCAAAGCTGGCTAGAACAAAACAGCGCTCCTCCCAGTATGCTTACGCTGCTGCTTATGAGTGCGTAAAAGACAAAACTGTTCCCACACGCTGACCTTCCACTTCTGGAACACAGGGTATTTCCTCCATGGGCAGCCAAGGGCTTTCCCTTTGGGGCTTTCCTGGGTAGGATGCTGTGCTGTCATGTTGCTCATTTCCTTCATCCTATATAATGTTCCCATCCTGAAGTGACCATTACTTATCTCCTGATTTTTACTTTTGTGTGGACCAGGAGTTGGGGACTTGCTAGCAGGTCAGCACGGTCATGAACAAAAGGGTAGCTAATTAACTGCTCAATAATATATCTGTTTTTCTTTTTTTTTTTTTTTTTGATATCCAGTGCATGGTTATTTCCTAATGTCATTTATATATAAAATTTTATATAGAAATATATTAAAATAATATAGATTGGTATAGGACTATATATGAATTCTTAGTAAAAAGCGTTCCTTCTATTACATTTCCTCTGCATAACCCAGTCAACAGTTATGCTATCTCCTTTCAAATATTTATGAACTTTTTTTTTTTACATATTTAGTTTGCAAGACAGTCCTTTATTTCTTGTGAAAATAGAGGATCCCTGATTTTTTTTGCTTTGAAATATGTCGCTATCTCTCAGGTGAACTTATTAAAAATTAGGTGTAATGTTCAGAGTGAAGCCAGATTTCTTATCATGCAATTTTTCAATGGTATTGCTTTTTGTGGATGGTGTTACTCTGCAGGGGGACACTGTACATGAAATTAAACATGAATTCACAATGTGATAAGCTTGTAAAGCAAAAGCCAATGTAATTTAGACTTCAGATGCAGAAATATATTGCAGATGAGAGCCTGGTAGTCTTGCTGTTGCTCTTGGATTACAATGTATGTAGGTAAGGCTTTGTATTTGAAAGGTTATAGTGCTCGTTTGATAATGGCTGGCTGGAGTCGTATCTTACCCCTCAACACTGTATCTCAGCAAGATAATTCTTGTTGCTATCTAGAGAATATAATCAAATCAGCAGCTTACCTCTCTAATTCAGGAAGACTTCTGTGTCTACCTGTGTGGTTGCTATTTTTGTCTCTGGCTTTGATTTCCAGTCATGATTGAATTTGTAAGTGTTATACCTTAATGTACATATTGTTTAATTGGTAAAATGGGTGTAAAATTTTCCTCTTCCTTCAATATCTTTTCATGTTTATCAGGAAAAGTAGCAGGTGCATACATGACGTACTTAATCCAACATGAACGCTGCTGCTGCTTTTTTGCTCTTAATATCTCCAAATGCAGCAACAATTAAGTATTTCTAAGTTTTTTTTTTTTTTTTACTATTTCTACTTGTTTCAGTACAAGGTCTGGCACATAGGGAGCGTATTGCATCTACGTTATCTTGTGACCTAGAAGAAGATTACATTCTTGTCTTATAAAAGCAATACATGGTGTAGGGATCTAAATATCAATGTTATTGATTTGTCCTTATCGTGTTACTGAGCCCATTCCTGTTTCGAGGCTTGAACCATAATGATCTGCTTGTCACCTCGAAAATAAATTACATGATGTAGGCTGTCACAAGACCTATGCAGAAGCATATCAGCTGATTGAGTGAAACCTATTCTAACAATAACTGGTGTAAAATTGTTTGCAAAGAGACACCCAGGAGGAAAGCAGACTCAAACAATTTTATTTTTCTTTGTCTCTGGCTGTCTTCCACTGATAGGACTCTTGTTTGTTCCAGTGATGTTAATAGGAAAATCTAGGGAGAGGGGAGGAAAATAATAAGAAAAAGAATAGAAGCAGTCTTCAAAGGTTAGTTATCATGTCACATACATACTATAGAGTAAAAAATAACAACTCTACGTGAAGCTTTATAGTTGATATTTTTTCAACCTGAGAGTGTGCCCCAAATTTATACTGTGGGGAACTGAAGCATGGAGAGACTAGGTACCCTGCACAGGGTGATGCAGGTAATTGATGTGAGGTTATCAAGTCCTAAACCAACATCCTAGGTATTGGGGAAACATTTTTGTGCTGCTTTGAAGAACAACGCTGGTTTTGGGAGAAGCACGTGTAGTTGATGTGACTGAACCCAATGTTTGCATGCATGGGTTTGTAATACATCCCTTAGGTTGAAAAGCACTAATGCACTTTCCTGGTGGAAGGAAGAAGTGTGAAATCAGTTGAATTCTGCATTCAGGGAATACTGAAAAAAATCTTTTTGTTTTCTGTAGCAATTTCTCTTGTCGGTGGGAGTGGTATTAAATACAGCAGTAGCAGAATCCTGAGTGCACAAAGAGATTCCATGTTCTTACACGGTTCCTCCTGCCATCTGCCAGCATGAGCACAGGGTTCAGAAACCCTTCTTGTTGCAGATGTAGTCTCAGTCTCTTTCTCCTTCTATTGTGTACCCAAACATACTCTTCAGGCTGTCATGGAAGTCATATTCTGGCTTTACTAATCTTACGGGCATCATTACGTACTAGTTGCTTGCTTCTTTTTGATAACACTCTGGTTGTGTAGCTCATGCTTTTTGAGATCAGGACATCTGCAAATCATGACGGCTGAGACAATTTTGTGTGGTTTTTCTCTCTTTTGCTTTGATCTAAGTGATATCAAAAAGGGTAAGAACAGAAAAAGAAGAATGAAGTGCTCCATACAATCCCCAGTCTCCAAAATGTATTGATGTAAGATGTAAATTTTAAATTTACATCTGTAAATGTAAATTAATACATTCTACTTACAATATTTTATCTGACAATCTCAAAGCACTCTGACAAGCTGCAAACGTTGCCTCGCAAACACTTGTAAAGTAGGGAAATATTATTCTCCCTACCCTACCTCTTTTTTTTTTTTAAGCTAATAGGGAAACCAGAGGAATAGGTCAAAGCATTGGTTGACTACCAGGGGTGACTCCTTAACAAGCTGAAGATCATTCCTTTATCTGTTTCTTGGTTGTCCTCTGCCTGAGGAGTAAGACTTTTTTTCCTTCTCTGTTGAGTTGTGCAGAGGTCCATTGCAGCATGGAAAACTTAAAGGTGTAGTGCTGTTTGGTTTTTTGTGGGTGTGGTAGTTAAAATGGGTTATCTCCAACATTTCCTTGGAGTAAGTCTCTCCTTTTCAGAAAGCATTATTTAGCAGTCATTAGACCTGTTCTTAGAAGTGGGTGTTTACAGTAGCCTGAGAGTTACTCACCTCTGTTGTCTGGATAAGGAATCCAGACACCTGAATTAGATGCCTAGAGTCAGATGACATAAATGTTCCTTAAAAAAGGATTAAAAATTGTTCTTGTATCTAGCACCACTATGGTTTCTTAAACAACAGGAAACATTTACTGTTAAGTTTATAGTTATTTTTAACAACTAAAATTATATCACAGTGCTGTGAGTCAAATGCTAGTCAGTCATGTAGTGAAGGGACTTCAGTGTTCTGTGTGGCTCAGGGTTATCTTCAAGTTGGTTTTTTTTTTTTGGGCAGGGGCTTCAGTCCACGATGGCTGGCTTCCAGTGCCTTCTTTCTGTATGTGCTTCATCACCTCAATCCCTTCAGTTGAGACTGATCTGCAGAATACAGCCCAGAAATCTGTACTTCATGATCCCTGTTATAGTCTGACTGCTCCAACACATTTGAAACCCATTTAAGACTTCCATTCTTGATGTAAGAACTGGAAATGGTAGTTTACCACACCGTCAGTATTCTCCCTACCTTATTTGCATCTTTCACTTCCACTTCATTAATTGCCTAATGATTCATCCAGTTATTCATCTAATTCTCTTGTTCATAGCTGTAGCAGGCTTTGGTGATATCAAACAAGTTTAATTAACATACCATCAACAATTAAGAGCTTTTTGCTTCTTATGTGATGAAGACATTAGCTGCCTAAATTTTATTGTTACTGTTCCTGTGAAACTTGACCTTCGCTTTGGAGCAGCACACTTTCTGGTGCTTGTTGCAGCTACATTAATTGTACTGTTCCAAAATCCTAAAGTGAAGTTATTGCTATTACTGACTACAGTGTGACAATTTTGTGATCAGCGTGATTTGCTGACCAGCTCTCACCCTGTGCATCCCTTTCACTTCTGTTTGAAATACAAGTTTGATAAGGGTTGTAGAGAGGACAACAGTCAGAGCCTTGGTACTTTGGATGCGTGTGCCGACGTGTGCAGTCTTGTTCTCGACTAACTGTTTACAACCAGACGCGTTGGGGCTTCCTGGCATGCTGCTCAAAAGAACCAAAACTTTTTTGTGTGCTTTACTCATGGATTTCAGACTCCTCTACCGCGTTTTTCAGAGGATAAACCAATGTGTAGAAGGAATGCAACATGCCTCATGTTGAGCTGTAAGAATTGGAGTGGAGGCTTAGTTTTCTTTACCTCAGTCTTTTGCTCTGTCTGTTGAGCCGCACTGCTTGTAGCAGCGTGCATCTGTGTGGACTGTTTGTTTTACAGCATCTTGGTAATGTTTGCACATGGAGTTTGCTAGTGAATCATTGGCAAAAGTTCTTTTGCAGCATGTTACTATAGTGACATCCCAGAGTAAAATGCTGGGTAGCATGAATGTACCTTCTTTCAACTTTCCCTTTGTTAAATGTGTCTGCAGATCTCCTGCCATCTGTGGTGTCAGAACTTCATGCCATTCTGATAAGCACCCCGAAACAGTTTAATCCTTGTAAGCCGGGCAAATTAATAACCAAAAGGAAAGAAAACCTAATCAGGCTTGTTAATCTAATTGCCTTTTGTTTTTTCTCTTCTCTGCTGCTGCTTTTGCTTTTGGGCTGTATATGGGCTGCTCAGTGTACTGAAGGAACAAACTACTTTAGAGTTTCTGTGCCACCTAAGCTTTCTCTTCTGCAGAAAGGCTCTGAACTTTACAGCGAGGAGCACCACTGGAATGCTGTCTGAAGTTTTTCTGAGACTGGGCAAATACTCTCTTACCTCCTTATGCAATGTGTGTGTGGTCCTTGTAGGTCATTCACAGCCAAATCTATTTTGTCTCGATAGAAATGGAGCTTTACTGAGCTCTCTGACATTCTCAGATGAGGAGAGGAATGACCTTCTGGCTTCTGGGGCAGTGTAAGCTTTCCAGTGGCGTTTGGGTTTGTTCTGGAGCTGGGAGGGACAGTTGTCTTCAGAATTCAGTCACTTGGAACTCCTTTGCTTTCAGGGGTAATTGCTGAGAATGCGAAACCTAATACTGATGCCCCATTAGAATTTGGCCATATTCCGACAATGCTGTCTTTGCAGCACTAGCCAGGGTGAGAAGTAGTAAGTGTTCTGGGTCACTGAAATCACTTGTGACTCCTGTGTCAGTGTGCAACTCATATGTAAGAAAATGTGTGTTCAGAAAGCCTTTTTAAGATACTTCTGCTTGAATAAGTGGATTCCGAATAATGGGTTTATTAGTTGGAAATAAAAAGAATATGCCCCCTCCCTTCAGTCTTCAGGTAAGAGAATATGAGGGAAATGTAATCGGCACTACAATTTGGGCTTACATTCGGAGTTGGCACCAAAGGCTGCCGGCTTTTTGTTGATTTTATAAGATGAGCTCCTGGAAGTCCATGTGTGTTTTATAAACTCCTTGTGTATTCTTGTCTGAAACTTCTTGTGTGACTTCTCCCATCTTCCTCCATTCCCCAGAAGTCCTGTCCCTGCAGTATTGATTCTCTGTCCTCCTTGTTCCGTCCCATGCCAAGGATTTTTAATGCTTCATTTTCCCCCCTCAGACACCTCTTCCTCTGCAGAGATTTTGTACTATTCCATACTGCTCTCTATGCCAGGAGTTTGTTTGCCCTTCCATTCTCAGCTCCTGCCAGTAGCTTTTTTCTTTTTTTTTCCCCCCTGAGTCAACATTTTTAAGAGAGTATAAGTATGAGCTGAGGTCATTGAGATGTTATAGTAGAATGTATTAGTGGCTGCCATCAATGCATTTCTTGCTCTACAGATGTTAGGCTTTCAGACTTCTTCCATTTAGTAGAACCCTAAATGCTTTCTGTTAGAAGCACAGACCATAGTTTAAGATGTGTCAGAAGGTTCATATTCATGAAAATCTCTGTGTATATGCTGTGTCCAAAGATGGTGTTCAGTGTGTTGGGTGTGCTTGTGTGAATAGTGGCTGCATGATGCAAACCAGTAGGACAATGTGGAAATGTTTGTGACTGCACTTCAGGATTATATTTACCTGAATAAGGCAGGGGTTGCCCTTTCTCTGTCTACCTCTCCTGCTCTGTCCCCCAGCCTTCTTTTTTGAGATTTAAGTAAAATGTCCCTGATGCTGAGGACAGAGAGATCTGTAGGTGAGATCTTTTTGTCACGTAGATCAGAGTGTCTGGGATAGTGATTAAAATACCTACCTGACCTCACTGGTTTATTGTTTTTAAATAGTTTTGGACTCTTGAAAATGGCATCTAACTATTATTATGGTTATTTTTATCATTGGTGTTATTTAAATATTATCGGAGATGGTGTGTTCATGGAAGTCAGGTTGCTGGTAAGTACAGCTTGTTCTGGAAGCCACGCAATGAACGAAATTTAAATCTTCAAATGTTTTGGGCCATACTTTTGAAAGCCAAGTAGGAGATTGCATGCCTTAATTAATATTTGTCCTCCTTTTTGCTTTGTGTTTTAAGTAACAAGCCAAACCCCAACCAGATCAATGTAAATAATGTCAAACCAGGAGTGGTAAATGGTACTGGAGTACAGGCACAGAACACGGGAGCAGGACGGGCCTGTGAGAGCTGTTATAGTAAGTGACCCGCCAGTACAGCAGTTGTGCGTAGAGAGCGTGAATGCTGTGTTACAAACGGTAAAATAAAAGCGGTGTGGTGCAGGGGGGTGGGAGAGAAGGCTTTGGAAGGGTGCAGGGGACAGAATTTGACATATCAGCATTTAAGCAAAGTTTGGGGGGGGGGGTGTTACTGTTGTTACATTTGTAAATAAAATTGTGAAGTACTAAAGGGCGAGTTGGTAAATGTCCTACATAATCGCAGGTAGCTGTTGAGCAATGACTTAAACCAGTAAGGTGTGAACTTGACAAATTTTTCATAATTCTTTAGTAGATTTCAAAATATGTGATGTCGTCGTATTTGGTCTGCTGCCTGATACGAATACACTGAGTTCTAATGATTGTGCTCCTTTATGGGGAGCCTTTAGAGATGCTGGAATGTAGGGACTGTATGAGAAGTCAAGTCACAGATTTCTTATGTTCTTTAGGCATAAAATTAATGTAGGGGGAGTTCCTGAAGCCCCTCTCTCCCATGCTCTGCAGAAATTGTTGCCTACCAGTCTTGTAAAATGAGAGCTTTTAGTTTCATCGGCAGGAAATTTTCCCATCCTAACTAGTTTGGGTTGTTTTTTTTCTGTTCATGTTTTTAAAAGGGGTTTATATGTCTAATTAATTCTGCTGAAATCACAAGTACATTTAACAGCAGTGATGACAGTGAAGCGATCATCAGGTTTTTAAGGTCTATTTGAGCTCTGCACTGTCTTTTTGTGGGTTTTCTTTTGTGATGGTTCTAAAGAGAATAAACTCTGAAAACTGATCCTGTTTAAGGATATATATAATTTCCACCTTTGTTATCTCTAGCCACACAGTCTTACCAGTGGTATTCTTGGGGTCCCCCTAACATGCAGTGTCGCCTCTGTGCATCCTGTTGGACGTACTGGAAGAAATACGGTGGCTTGAAAATGCCAACACGGTTAGATGGGGAGAGACCAGGACCAAACCGCAATAATTTGGTAGGTATCTGCAAAGCAGTCTGCTCGGTGCTCTTGCCTTGAAAGCTAGGTGCCATGATATCTAACTAATTGTTCACTGTTCTTAAATATTTAACAACAAAAAGAATGCCTTCAGCCTCCATTGTTGTTCTTGGGTTTGGTATTTCATGTCTTGCAAAAGCTGGCATGTTAACTTCAGCTATAAGTAATCTGTTGCCAAGTACTGCCCTGGGGGAGGGGGGAATTAAAATAATTTGTTTAGCAAACTAGCCATCAAATGCATGGGAGAACTTAATGAAGGTAGGAAAAACTGAAATGCCAGCCAGTGTTTCTGGTATTAGATTTCCATGATTTTTGCTGTAGGGGGAAGAAGTCTTTCTTTTTTTTTTTTGCCCCCCCTAAAGAAATTCATTATTTCCTGAAACCTGTTCCCTTTCCCAAGGCACATTCAACATTAGGTACCCAAAATAGAAATAGGTAGTGGCTTTTTAGAGATTCCTTATCTTGTTTTTCTACTTCATCCCATTTTTTTAATTAATACTCCTTCCTTTTGAATAGGTTTGAGTAAGCATTGTATGAGTGTCTTCTGTTTAATTTTTCCCCCTTTTAGTTAAAAATATAAATTCTCAAAATTTTTCTGATTTTGGTGGAAGTTCTGTCTGGAAGCATCATACATTGAGCTGATTGGAAAAAGTAGCTGCATCACATGGACAGAAGGATAGTGCACACTGAGCTCTGGTCTTAGATTAATTTCTTTCCTCTGTCCTCGTCTTTGCTATCATTCCCTTCCTGTTCTATTTTTTTTCATTTAACCTCTGTCCTTTCCAAGCTTCTGCTTGCCCTCTGAAGCTACCTAACTGCTGAGATAACTGCCAGGTTTTATCAAACTTAGACCTCTTGTTTGTTAATGAAAAAGTATGTAAATAGTCAGATAGGGGAAAGCCTTGTTCTCCCCAAACTGAAATTTCCTCCTATTTTCCAACCACGGGCAGGTTTGAGATAACAAGATACTACTTTCATTATTTTGTTGGTTGACTTAGTTGCTTTTCATGAAGAAGATACTGCTTTTGCTCTCTGTAGTAGATAAATGTCTTTCAGTATTATTCTCTGTTACATGCAGTGAATATTTGACAACTCTGTAAATGCATTCATTGAGTTCAGGTTAAGAATTAAAACAGAAATTCTGGCAACTTTGAGACAAAAACATTCCTGCATGCTGTAAGTTTGCTTTGGGCAGTGAGTTTGTGGTGTATATTTTAGCCACACAGCTTTCTGATTTTCCTTTCCCTCTTACAAATGCTTTTTTATAAGGAGCTTGCATTGTATATTCAGATGTCGTGGTTTAACCCCAGATGGGAACTAAGCCCCACCCAGATACTTGCTCACTCCCCCCACCGGTGGGATGCGGGAGCGAGTCAGAAGAGTAAGAAGTGAAAAAACTCATGGGTTGAGATAAAGACAGTTTAATAGGTAAAGCAAAAGCCACACACACAAGCAAAGCGAGACAAGGATTTCATTCACCACTTCGCACCAGCTGGGAGGTGTTCAGCCATCTCTGGGAAAGCGGGCTCCATCACAAGTAACGGTGAATTGGGAAGACAAAACTCAGAACGTCCCCCCCTTCCTCCTGCTTCCCCCAGCTTTATATGCTGAGTATGACGCCGTATGGTCTGGAATGTCCCTCTGGTCAGTTGGGGTCAGCTGTCTTGGCTGTGTCCCATCCCAACTTCTTGTGCCCCCCCAGCCTTCTTGCTGGTGGGGTGGGGTGAGAAGCAGAAAAGGCCTTGGCTCTGTGTAAGCACTGCTCAGCAACAGCTAAAACATCCCTGTGTTATCAACACTGTTTCCAGCACAAATCCAAACACAGCTCCTTACTAGCTGCTATGAAGAAAACTAACTCTCTCCCAGCCAAAACCAGCACATTGGAGCAGCTCTAAGCACCTAAAGTTTGAGAGTCTTTCTGTTGGCTTTGTAAACATTGACTCATGTGATAGCATCAGATAACTTCTTTGGGTCTGGCTTTTGGATCCCCACTTTAAAACTTGGGACAGCACAGAAATAAACACTTCCCTGTGAAGAGAAAACGTTTACCTTCCTTTTATCCTTTGAGATATTTTGGAAGAAAATTCCAAATGTTGATAGTAGGATTTGGGAAATGGGGAATAGCTGGGCTGAAAATATTGTCATCTATAATAATGTATCTGTTAAGTCTGTGAATCAGTAGTTGAAAGTGATTTTATATGGTATTCTTTCTCTTCTTTAAAACCATACGTTCTAATCATTATTTTTTAGAAACTGTATTTCTTTTTCTTTCTTCTTAGAGTCCTCATGGTGTGCCAGTACGAAACAGTGGAAGTCCCAAGTTTGCTATGAAGACACGACAAGCTTTCTATCTCCATACAACAAAACTGACAAGAATTGCCAGACGTTTATGTCGAGATATCTTGCGCCCTTGGCATGCTGCAAGACATCCCTATCTGCCTATTAACAGTGCAGCAATCAAAGCAGAATGTGAGTGGTGATGCAGCTGGGACCTACTTGCAAAGGAGCCCTCTGAGATTCATTTCCTATAAAATTTGAGTTGCAACTTCTTGAGATGCTGTCTTGCATGCAGCTTGCTGTGGTTTCACAAAATCTAGATGTACTTGCGGAGCGTTCTAACTGATTGTAGGCTAGACAAATAACTTTGAAAATTCATGAGTTGTTTGTTTTAAAATAATGATGTTTGCTATTACATTTAGCATTCTGCATTTGTGTCCTGTTGCCAAGATATGCTTGCAACCTGTAAAATTCCTTTTGATTTGAAAGCTCTTTCAGGACACTTGAGTTGTTCATTTAGTTTTGCGATAATATCTAAATGTCTTTACCTACCCTCTAATTATTTTTCTTTATTTTACAGGCACAGCACGTTTACCTGAGGCGTCAGAAAACCCATTGCTATTAAAACAAGTGGTTCGAAAGCCTTTAGAAGCAGTACTCCGGTATTTAGGTATTAAAAAACCCAAACACCACCAAATGCAAAAACTCCCAACCAAACAAAAACCCCTACTAGCTAATTCTGCTAACTATTTCTTTTTACATTTGGTTCTAGATTTAGATACTGGTTCTGGATTAAAAAAAAAACACATGAAAACCTTCCCATGAGCTTGTCCTTTTTCCTTTTCCTACTGAATTTGACAGACTAGTGGCTCAGTATTCCTCTCTGGGCTCACTCTGGAGCTGTATCAGAAACTTTCTCAAATGAAGGGAGGGATGTGTTTTCTGTGGCCTCCAATATATATGGGGGACGAGTTACCATCTGCTAATGGAGTCATGAATATACTGTTTTGGGAACAATTGATCAGTCCTATTGTTCCAATTTTTGAGCTGTCTGGAGGTAGTTCCTGCATTGAGTCCTCCAACAAGCCTGTTGGGTTTAGGACAGAACCATGTCTCACAGCTTGTGAATTGGTTGCTGGCTGTTCTGTGCTGCAGCTAGACAAGGGGACTATATTTACATTCATTACTTCTTGGGGTTTTGGGGGTTTGTTTTTATGGTTTTCATGAGAACTTGGGCCTCATCAGCTGATCTGTGGGGGAATACTGAGTAGTTCTGTCCAGGACCTTGGTGTAAGTTTTAGGTGCTGGAAGAGGCCAGCTATGTGACATGCCAGCTCTGACCCCAAATGAATGCAAAATCATTTTCCCTGGTGTTCTCAATTGCTAGAGGCACCCTGAAGACATGTGTCAGGTTGTTACAGCAGTCTTAATGTTAAGTCTAACCCCAGAGAGCTAGCTTGGATAGTGGTACTTCGAAGACTTCCAGATTAACAAGGAAATTGATTGCCTTTTTACTCTTGATTTGAAACACTGGAGTTGATTTTATGTTTCTTTGAACATTTTTATTCATGAAATGTTGTAAGGCTCAGGGTTCATTAAATATTTACTGCTTCTCTGAGTGTTGTACTTCTACAGTATAGTAATGAGATACACAGATTGAGAAACCTTTGGACATGTGTGGTACAACCAAATAAAGCCAATAAATGAAGAAGTTTTGCTGTTGGGTAAAATCCTGCTTTTAATAGTTGTACAGAATGTAGCAGTAGATTTTGAGATTTCATTAACGCTGTGTCAGGATGTCCATTTGACTGTTGAGCTGAGGGAAGGGAGTGAAAGAAACGGAGGGAGGCTGGTGGACCGGCAAGAACGTATTTTTGGAGGGGGTGTGCTCAGTGTGCTTTAAGTTATATGTTACTCAGCCGTTGGGGCTGTGAGAGAAAAGCTTGGTTGAAGCTTCCATTTGCTGTTGCGTGTAACTTTCTCAAAATCTTTTCAGTTGAGCAGCGTGTGCTTGATCTCTGCCTTGGCCAAAAGTTTGAACTCAGATTCTGTGTGTTTTTTATGGTGGTGCTGTAAATCCTCGCTTGTTTGGTCAGTCTAGAAATTGTATTTTTTACAAACCTTGCAAAACTGTCAAAGTTGTAATTTTCGCCAGAGTTTAGAGGTGTTGTATGACTGCCCAAAGATGGCTTTTAATATAGAGCACCCCCAAAATGATCCCAAATTGTAGGAGAATAGTGTGTTGGAAATGATAACAAAAGCACTTTGTATCTAACTCTTATTACAGGATAATATTATGACATTGGCTTTAACGTCTTCAGTAGAAGTGAATTCCTAAATATACTTAAAATGCCTTATATAAAAAGCAATCCAGTCAAAATTATTGCCTGAGATTAGTTTGTGTATAAGGGGAGGTATACTCGGTTTCTTGGAAGTTTGCAGGTTCTATATACATTTGTTTTCAGATTTATAATTCCAGTATCTTCACTAATAAAAAAACCCCACCTTGGTGTTTTACAACAGAGTCTCATCCATGTCCTCCGAAACCAGATCCTGCAAAGAGCTTGTCCAGTTCTCTCAACAATCTGACTCCTGCTAAGTTTACGCCTGTCATTAATAATGGGTCCCCAACTATCCTGGGAAAAAGAAGTTATGAACAACACAATGGAATGGATGGTAAATATTTTTCTGCAAAATGTATATTGTCTACATAGACCTTTTCTTCTGTCCTTTCGGTGTACAAGGAGATTATTTAAAACTGTAGTCCTTTATATAAATTCCGAGTTTCTTATTCTTGAGAGAGCTTAATATTTTCCTTTTGTAAAAGTCACTTGTCCCATTTCTCCTTCTGGGTGGGACACATGATGCGTGCTGCCTGGGTGGTGCATGCACATAAAGCTACTGTGCTAGTGGAACTCTGCCTAGCTTTACCAACCTTACAAATCGGATAGTGAAGGAGAAACTTCCTTTCAGTTTTTAAATCAATAGTACGAAGAAAACCTTAATAGCTTTTTCCAGTGATGTTTCCTTTGTCTTTTGAGGTTTACAGCTTTTTAACCTGTAGGTAGTACCTGTGCAGTTCCCAGGTGGCTTTGTAACATGTGGATCACCTGGCTTTCAGCAAAGCTACCAGAGGCTGCATGCCATTGAGAAAGGCAGGCTGCTGCTTAGCTGAGGGAGGCAGACATGCCAGATCTGGTATGGAATAAACTTGCTCCTGCCTTGCACAGAACCAGAGCATTTGCTTTTGTTGGCCCTGTCAGTGAGCACTCTGTGCAGTGGAGTTTGGGCTTCATCTCCTCAAGAATAAAAGGCATGGGGAAGGTGTTTGAAGTGGGAGATAGGCGCAGGATGTTCCTGGCACAGACTCCAGGGCTCTGTTCTGAAGAGTTGCTCTTGCCTGAGAGTGTCGGGGAAGAGAAAGTGCAGTCTTTTTCTCAGATGAGTACAAAAAGGTCTGTTCAAATGTTCTTAACTGGAGTGAGAACATGGAAGGTAGCTCTCCGTAACAGGGGAAAGGAACAGTTGGTTTAATGATGACTCTGAGCCGGGAGGGAGGTACAGAGAATCTTTCTCATTTTTTACCTTTAATTTTAACTTTGTATGTGGCTTATCTAAAATACAATTACAAACATTTGATATCTTGTTGTTTGTCTTTTAACATTAAGAACTTTTTAAACTGCTGCTGTTCAGGTTGCTGATGTGATGTTTTTCTCTTTTCTGTTCACTTGTGCTCTATCAGGCAACATGAAGAAGCGCCTGTTGATGCCTAGCAGGGGTAAGACCTTGAAGCTGCGCTCAGCTTATGCTAGGAGAGTGATTTTTAGTTTCATCTGCTGGCTTGTCTGTGCTTTGTGGCTAATGAGTCTGTGTGCACCTTCTGTGTTGATGTCTAAGTGTTCCTTGGGTAACTATTTCCACCCATGGTTATGCTGTTCACCTTCCAGGCTTTTCACATGCAGATGACAAGTCACACAACTGTACTGAAGACATGAAGTGCTATGTTCAGAATTGATTACTAATTCCTCAAGTTGACAGAACAGTTTTCTAGCAGTTTTGTGAAACTGCTGAAAGCAGTGATGGTTTGAAATGAGGTGGTGTTTCACTGTTTGACTTTTAAGAAACCAGAGTTTCATGCGTCCTGAACTACTTCAAATTCACATTGACCAAAAGAAGTAGAAGACAGTATTCACACTGAGTCCCAAGTTCAAGCCTCTGTTTTCCACTGTGAGTGGACAGTCTCACCGGTGAGAGACTGTGTTCTCTACCTGATGTAGATAATGGTTTTCAGAATTTCCACAGGTTAAAAATTAATCTGTTCTGACTACTGAATAGACCTCAGAAGCTTTAGTTTGTGATAATGCAGGAAATTGTACATACGATGTCACTTAACCAAATTCAGTAGAACAGACCGATTTTGAATGGTTAAGATATACAAATGTCATCGTGAGACAGGGAAACGCAAAAACTAAAGCTTACATGTTACCGTGAAATGGCCCACACTGCATGTTAAGCTTTGTGTTTAATGGCTGAGACAGTGGATGGCTGTTACCAGTATTTACATGCATGCATATGTAAGTGCATGCAGAGAATACGATAAAAATGAGGACAGTGATCGTTCTACTGTCTTGCTTTCTTTGGGAATTTATATTGTGTTGCTGAGTTCTTAATGCACTTTCTAACTTCTGTGTTTTGGGAAGAATAACAAAACCCTCCTGCCTTGGTCAGTTTGGCTTCCTCGGAAGCTTTGTCCAATAATGAGGGATGTAGGTGAGGAGCAGCTCACTGAATTTCCACAGCTCCTAGCGACTACCTGCTTATGGGCATGACTGCTGCTCCCTGCTAAATGTCCTCATCAGCAAGGGGACTGCTGAGTCACTCAGCAGATGACACAGTTCTGAAGCTCTGAGATGATGTGGCCCAAAGGAGGGAGGTGGAAGAAGACCTGATCCTTCCCTCAGGCTCTCTCTGTGTAAAGCACTGGATTTGATAATCTGACCATTTACTTGCTGGAAATGGAGGATTCTTGTTTTAGCGTTTTAAAACATCTGTCTGCTGGTATACATGTTTGGTCAGATACATTTCATCATAACTGCTGCTGGAGCAGTTTGCAGAAAGATTTTGGTGAAGTACCTGTTCAGGCTGCTCAGAATACATGTTTCTCTGAAGCACACGTGTGTAGTTGTGCAGGGGCGGGCTCTCACCAAGAGCCTGATCCTTTATCTGCTCGGTCTGTTCTCAGCCAGCCACTGAAATACTTGTAGTATTTGTTCCTACAACCGCTAGGTAGTGGAGTACAGTTCAGTCCCAGAATCTGTTTACCTGCTGGGGTAGTGAGTGTTAACTGGATATTCTTGTGAGCAGTTCAGCTTAAAACTTGTTGGCTGAGATTTATTTGTGAATGGAAAATGTTTGTCATGCTAGAATTTCAACATCTGGAATATTTTCTGACCCAGCGTTGCTGGAAGCTTTGCTGAAACAGAGGGAAGGGAACCACCTGCAAGGAAACAAGATTTAAAGGATTTGGATTGAGATCTGCTGGGCATCGGAAAACAGATGGTGGAAGTTTGGTGGAGCTGTTTCTGGCCTGGAGCCAGTTTGTGTGCCGGTGCCGCTTAGCACTGGTTCCCAGTTGCCTTGCATGTGAGCTGGTAAGCTTTTCTGGCTCTGGGCATGGCTAATGCCGGTTTCCTGTGCTGCGCTGGAACTGGGAATATGGTGCTGAGACTTCTCCTTGGCTCTGGATGGAGTCATACAGGCTTTCTAGTCTGGGAGGCTGCTGGTGGGAAGGGAGAGGAGGAGGTCAGAGGAGAAGAAAAGCACAAGTTGGAACTGTTGTGAAGAAGGGGTGAATGGCAGCGAGAGTGAGGAAGCCTCGTGACCACAATTTAGGAGCCAGTGAGTTAGTGTAAAAGGACTCAAATAAATCTATCTATCCAGAATGGCTGATTTTTGGATTATAAGTGACCTAAAATAGAAGAAAAAGAAAAATGAGAGTAAAAATTAATTATTATAAGTGGTCAGATTCTTCATGTACATAGCTCCTATAAATACTACAGGAAATTGTGCGGGGCAGGGGGGTGTTGCTTTTATGGTTTTCCCTCTTCCCTTAGTGACACGTGGTGGTATACTGTCTGCTTTGGGTCATTGTAGGAGTGTACTGCAAAGAAAAGCTGGTGTTAAGATGACTGCATGGAGAGGCTGAAAATATTCTTTGTGCACAAATTTAGGTGCAGGAGGACACTTTGTCCACTTATGTTGAAATAGTTTTCAAGGAGATGTTAACCTACTGCAGTGTTATATGAATTATCCAGGGTTCTGATGTGCTGTGTTGGTGGCACCTGGAAGTTATGGTTTGGACAGGTCACTGTCAAAGTCTCTGACATGTGACAGTGAACAACTATAACAGGGTGGGCTTTAGCTGAAGTCTCTTTGCTGGTGATACAAGCCTTTTGGTTCTGGGCTATTAATTCCAAATTCATGGTTGAAGTATGTATACTGTAAATTATGGCTGGTTGTTGAGTTGATTGCATGTGATGAGTTAGTAGGGTTTTCCTCATGGACAGGTCATAGAGCAATATAAAATCAAGAGATGGCTTTGCAGGGAATGAGCCATGTAACAGCTTGTATTTTTGCCTAGTGTAAAGCATTAAGATCCATGTTTATATGTATATATTGGTGGCCAGGTTTCTAAGGCATTTAAATTCCCCTGGCACCTGCTGCCTTCATTTAGAATTAGGCTGTTTAACACTGCTGAATATTGAACTGTTCATGTAGGGCTTTGAGTGTTCCCTCAGGCAGTGCTGCTGGAAGATTTTCATCTGTGACTCTACCACCCCTTGGTATTTAGGACGATGGGTGGTCAGTGGTCAGAGTTCATCCCTCAGAAAAATTAAGCAGTGAAGTGCCTTGATGAACGTTCCTGTGTAAATGGAAACACCGTTCCCAAATGTGTCTGAATGATGACTGAGGGTTGAGGGGTTGGAGATGGAAAGCCTAGTCTAAGGGCAGATGCCGGTTGGTCAGGTTGAACTCTGTGTGGAGAGAGGTCGTAATGGGAAGTAAGGAAAGGCTGGGAAAGGGGAAACTTTGGCAGTGAGAGATCAAGGAGGAGAAGGAAAGGAGACTGTTGTTAGTGGGCTGCAGCCAGAACTAGTTAAAACTAATTATGGTAATGTTGGAAATTGCTGAACTTAGAAGAGTACTTTCCTCTGGAATTTTGTTTGTTTTTTCTCTTGCTACTGTAACTCCAGCTAAGTACCTTTTAACTTTTCATTTTCTGACTCATCCCTGCTTAACCCTAGAGAGCTGAACTCGACATGCTTTGCATATGATTTGTCTGGCCAGGCATCTAGCATTTTGACTGGTGCTTGAATTCCAAGAACAGGAAGATAGTTTCATCTCTTCTCACTCCCTCCACTCTTTTTTTTATAAGAAGGGTGTAGTTCTTCCACCTGCTTCGTTTTCATCTTCTTTAAGTCGCATTGGAGGCATCATTAAGCATACAGTGCCCTTCCCAGCTCTCCTTCAATACTAGATTAGCATGGACAAATTGCTGCAGAATCCTATTTTTGGAGTATGAAAAGTACATGGAGTCTCATAAGCTGTCGGGTACAGTGAGATGTTAAAAAAATACTAGTTTATTGCTTTTTCATTAGTGTTCTGGAACTTAACTGACAATATTTGCCATGAAACTTCTGAGAGAGAGAGAGAGGATGTTTTATGTTCTGGACCCTGTTTACTTTTTTCATCACAGCTATCCAGCATGGGGTCTATGGGATACTTGTCTGTGCAAATTCCTCCTGAGGGAAGGGAGGGAGCATTGTTAGATTTTTATTTTTTTTCCCCTCTCTTTTACACCATGTTAGTTTTCATCTAATCAAATTTGTTTTTCAGGGTCATCACATGCACTCTAAAATTGGCAGAAAGAGAGAACATGAATGAGTAGCTGAAATAAAGGGAAGGCTTTTCCCAGCAACAAACTTGCATTGATAAAATGGTAGTGGATCGAATGCTGAAAATTGGAGAGGGTTTATAGAAGAGCCATGAAAATGGTGAAGGGACTGGAAAACACACTGTATAATGGAACATGCTTTTATCAAAGTGGAAGTTGTAGATGTTTGTCTCAGCTGACAGGAGCAGCAGAAGTGTAATAATAGAGGGCTTTTTAGTCTAGCCAGGAAAGGAATAATGAGCTGCAATAGCCAGAAGGTACAGTAGAAAAACTTTGGCTGGAAAAAAGCTGCAGATTTTTGAATGAGGTTAATTAACTGTTGGAATACCTTGCTTCTGCTACTAGGGATTTCTAAACCAAAATGGAATGTCAATCTAATTTAACATGTTTTGGTTCATTGTTTCTCACTTCCTTTTGGGGAAACACGAATGAACTCCTAGAACTGGAAGCATTCATCAGCCTAGCATGGTATTAGTTTAATTATCAAGAGATGAGCATGAAAGTGTAAATACTGTTCTTGATTAAAACCAGCTACCGAGGTGGGAATAAGAGCAGTCTCTAGCATCAACTATGTAGGTGACCAGATTTACCTCAGAGTTTTTTGTTCTGGCTGACTTCGACCTTGCAGAAAATTTGGAGTTACCTGTACGTACAAGTTGCATTAAAATTCTGCTTTTATCAGCGGTGGCCCTGACTGCCCTTCCAAAGTTGAGGATAACCAGCCAAACGAAATCTGCCCATCCAGGAATGACTGTAAACAGCAGAGAGTATTGGTCCTTTAATGAATAATATGATACATGGGGTACTGGGGAAAAATCCTGGCTTTAGCTCTTGATATCTGGACCAGTGTAATGCTGACTAGAGTCAAGAAAGAAAATGTTCAGTGCTGCTTAAAGGAACTGTTTCTTGCCAGCAGCAGCACAGCTGGAAAGAATGACAAGTTGCTTGAAATGCTTTCTGGACACCCCAAATTTAGATTATGTGCCAAAAGTACAGATTATTTTTGAGAATCGTACTTAGGATTTTGTATTCAGATGTTAAGTGAAACTTTCTTCCACTTGCCTTCAGCTTAGCTGTGATTCAGTGATTAGTTTCTTTTAGTGTTACGCAGAAATATCTGGAAGTGAAATCAGGAGATGGGCATTATGCTCTGTGGATCAACTAGTGAAAACCATTTCATATATGGGGCATGGCATGGATTAGGATGTGAATGTTGATTCAGTGAGTGGAGAGTGCATATCCCAAGGCAGTGGTAGGGAGCAGGTGTAATTAATGAGAGGAAATGAATGCATAGCAATGCAAGGGCAGAATTGCAAATGCCCCTGACAGTACAAAACCTGAACTTGTAATTAAGTAGAATCTACATGTGATGCATATATATATGTGCACATACACGTATGTATATTATGTGTAATACTCCCAATTGTGAGTGGAACAGTGAATAATTTAGTGGTTTCTAGTTTACATAGCTTGGATCAGCAAATTCTAAAGTAGTCTGGTGCATAGTTTTGTTGCCTCTTCTTTTTAACCACTTCATGTGTTACAGCCAGACCAGAATATACTGTGATGCTTTTTTAGGAATGCAGGTGGATAGTATTGGTTGACTCAACAGCAAGATGGATAGCAGCTCTGCATTCCAACAGTTGTCCAAGGGTAGCTACCTACTGATTCATTGTAGTTGGATGTCATGGCCCAGAAAGTATTAGTAGGGTCCTTGAAAGTACTTTCAGCAGAAGGTGCAGCTTTGCACGAACAAACACATCATCTGTGAGGTACTGTGAAGCAAATTAATGTGAACTATTAGACCAAGCATTTTAGGAAGTACTGTCCAAATCCAATGAGGTTAATGTGCAGGGGCTAGTGGAAGGAGGTTGGTAACAAACCACTACTTACCCATACAAAATTAAACTTTTATAACTTAAATAACTTTTCATTGTGGAATCTCGCATTTGGAGTTACTGTTTGTTTAATGTTGTCCTGGGTTTATCTGTCCAACAGAGAACTGTGATCACTTCTGTGTTTCACTGCAACCAAAACAGTCTGTGTTTCTGTATTTGTTGCATGGGGCTGGGCTACTGTGTTCTGAACTATGTGAATCTTTCCTTTTTTTAACCTTAAATCTCTTTTTTTCCCTTTCCTTTGCCAATCTTGGTAGGAACTTACTTAGGTAAGTAAATTGCAATTTTAACATTGTTTTTATGTACGACGGAATTTTCAGAAAATGTTAGTCTAGGTGGTGTTTGGTACAGTTTATGCTCTGTTCTGCTTGTTGCACTTGCATTCCTGAAAGTTATAGCCTTTGATTGTTCGAAGGTGGACGCTCAATCCACTCGCAGTGGTAACACACTCTTGGCAGTTTGAGAGAGGGGTACTAAAGCCTTCGTATACACTTGCAAAAACTGTATGCGTGTATATGTCAACACACAGAGACTACTTCAAGTGAACCAGTAACTTGAAAGTGAAATCCTTGTTCATCCAGCCTCATTCATGCATGAATTTTTATATTTTTTTTCTAGCTTGCTCACAAATGTGGTACTGTTGATGTTTTTGTTACTGCTGGGAAGGATGGAATCCCAGGAGGAGGATTACTTTTGGAAAAGGAAAATGCGTATGAAGAGTGTATGGATTTTTGAAAGTATAGTAAACTTACTGGATATGAAAGTGTGTGTTAAATTCTCTACATTCATTGTGACTGAACACGTGCTTATGAATGTTACTGCATATTGCATGTTCTTTATGATACCTCTCCTTGGTAAACAGAAGTTAAAAACAAAATACCATCTGTGACTAATTGCTTGGTGTCCTGATTGGTTTAAAAAAAAAAAAAATCAATTATGTTAACATGAGATGAAGGACCCGTATTTTTGTGTGTGGTGGATATGCTAAAGATCGGAGTTCGTAAGCTCGAGTGAATATAAATTTAACCCAGTGACTGAAAGCTGGGCTGCTCTTCTTCCTAGGTACTAGGGTCAGCTCTGTACAGACTTCTTGTGCCAAACTGTGAAATGGTCTGTAAATATACAGGCAATGGTGTGTATGTTCAGGTGTAGAAAAGCACTGGAAGATTTCTGCCCAAGTAGAAAAGTGGCCACGATTAGTGCTTACTCTGCACCTTCTTCGTGCTTGCTGTGGTAACTTCATGGAAATATCCCTGCAGTCCAGTCCGAGCTGGGCACGCTGCTGAGGGTTTAGGCTCTCACGCTTCTTGAAATGGCAGTTGTGTGTTGTGTAGAGTTGGCAAAAAAGCAGGCTGAATTTGTGCAGTGGGAGTAATTTTTGAATGGTGCTGTTCAGATGCTGAGGTCCTCTCGCCGGACTCACAGGGAACAGGACCGGGTCAGCAAAGAGCGTGCACATCTACGCTCAGGCTTCCGGTGGGACCGGATGTGCTGGCTTGCTCTCCATTGGGAAATCAGATTCCCCCACTCCACTCTGTGTTATCGGGCGCCAGCAATTCCCTACTCCTGCAGCATGCTCTTGGGGTGGTCTCTAGCTGCTGCAGGAAGTTTGGGTCTTCTCTCATTTTAAATGTAACAAATCTGAAAGCGTTAGATTCAAAGGATATGAGATTGTTGGGAAAGGAACAAGTTGGTTGACTAAGAGGTCGTTCCCCCATCCCCAACAGATAAAGCTGTAAAGTAACAGCAGTAACAGACTTGCATTTGCTGTTCGTGATAGTCCTTCCCCACCTGCCTGTTTTTTGCATGAAAGTATATGCTTTGATACTTGAAGAATGAAAGAATCATTAGGGCATAGTAACCTGCTGTGCCTGGTTTTGAGCCAAAATCTCAGTAATTGTGCTTAGGCTGGAGGAACAGTTTGGAGGTCTTGGCACTAAGTTGTGGGCAGTGGAGGCATGCTTTGAGGGTGTCAGTTAATCTCTGTAGTATGATTAGTTGTTACTGAAATGGTGATAAAACAATGCTGGAATCGTCTGCGGCAAAGGACATCTATGCTTATCTGCGGACACACCTTCAGTTTACCTTGTCTACATTTTATCCTCTGGGACTTCCTATTTTTTTCAATCTATAGAGGAGACCTTGGCAGGAGGAATTGAATGGGAGAAGGTATTGTAGGGCTTTTGTTTTTTTCAGTGCTATGGAAAAAAAACATTTAACCCTGAGTTTTCAGAATATGTTTCCATTTCTTTGGCTGCAGAAGAGTGGAAGATCTTCTTAGCTTCATCATTGTAAACCTTTACACTTTGTGGTTTTAAATGTTTAGTCACCTTTTTTTGTTTGTTGAGGGGTTTTTTTTTTCCTTATTTGAAGGAGCTCAGTGTTTCTGATGTGGAGCTATGTAAATTCAAGCAGTTGGACCTTAGATATCATTGAAAGGAATATTCACACTTTCTGTCTACCCTGTGGCTTCTCTAGACATCCCTCCATAAAATAAAGACAAGGTTTCTTTCCTGTAGAGGAGCTGCCAGAACCCTGTTGGATTTTGCTCCTGGTTTATATTTATATGTTGTCCTACTTTTTTAATCTGCTTGTGGATGCATGTATGTGAGAAGTCTCTGTCAAACCTTGATCTGTGTACCCGTCTGTACCACTCCTCACCCAGGGACGGAGGATTGGTTTAGTTGTTAGAGGTGCCTGTCTTGCAGACCTCATCCCTCGCACAGAAGCCACCAAAAACTTTTGGGTGAGAATCCATTGTTTCCAGGACAGATGCATCCTATTGACTTGACAGCTGTTCTGCAATGGGTTACAAATGTTATGCTGTCTCTCTGCATCTCTCTGGTGACCATTGCGGGTAAAAGTTGCTCATTTAATAGCAGTGCTTCAGCTGCATATGCTTTTAGTATGATTTTTTTTTTTAATTGCAAACTGAAGCTAGTCTTTTTAGTCTCTGTTTTTATATTTATTCTTTCAAATACCAGTTAAACAAAGTGTGACTAAAGGGAAAACTCACAGATAAGATTAATATGCTAATTGATCTTTATTAATGTGATAGCAAGAGTATAAATTGCATTGAAACTGTAACTTTGTTTTGTGTCCTATATTACTGGAGCAAAAAGTTGTCATGGGCAGCTTTGTCCTAGAAATTGCAGCTTAGGGGTGAGGTGTGTCCCTGTTGTAACCACTGCTGCTTTGCTGTTTGAGGGCCCTGAAGGTTTGAGGCTCACAGTAAGTAGCGGTTCTGCTCAGCCTTGGCTCAGTTGGTGTCAGTCTCAACATCTCTTCTCACCATGGAATATTCTGGGTATATTCTGGTGCTTGGGAATAACACTGTTTGCTGTCTGTTGTACATCCAGCAATAGTCATCGCAGCAGCCGCGAATCAGCTGCTCCTATAGGCCGGTCTTTTCTGGCATCAAGCATGTTCTTAGTACAAGAAAAGAGCTGAACAGGAGTGTGGTCAAAATAAGATGCGTGGCTTCAATCCAGGGACTAGCATGAGTTGATTTATGTCTCTCGGAGCTCCTGTGAATGGAGAAAATGTTATTGTTCTGTTACGGAAGGGGGAAGAAAAAAACAAGTGCTAGAGCTTGGCTCTGAAGCCAACAAATTCAGGTTACATCCTGCTGGCTGTGCTGTTTCCCAGCATCCGCGGAGCTCTTTGTCAATCCATCTCAAATGGCTGCTCACAGCTGTGTTTTGGATGCGATTGCAGCTCCCATGTAAAAAGGAGTGATTATCTGGCGCCTACATTGCCTTTGTCAACATCCAAAGGTTGTTACTGGTCTTCTTGCTTGGTGCCTGGTACATCTGTTCTACAGATTTGATGGAAATCCTTCTGGCATCTATTTCTTCATCTCTGTGGATCCTTAGGCACAAAAATGTGGCAAAAATTGAAACTGTGTGTCGTCTTGTTTGAAGTAGCTGACAGCATACGTCTACACAGAATGGAAAATACACTTGATATAAACTGTTGATTTTAATGTAGCATCGTGATACTCAATGCTCAGCAAATGTCCCCTGTTCCGCCTTCCTCCCTCCCGATACGTTGCTGTGCCGTGTGTTTCCTGGCATACTTGCTATGAGTACATTGTGTTTGGTTTTACCAAGGAGAATCTCAAGGAATCTGTTGGGAGTAGAGACCATGAGCTGTAAAAGTTCGTTTTGCTGGATTCTTTAAAAAGCTTTGCTGTTTTGTCACAGCTTAACTCATTAGCACTGGGAAGTTTCAAAAGTCAAGCTGGGAGCCTGGGCAGCTTGCTGTAAATATGAAAGCAGAACTTGTACTCATAACTTCTGCAGCCAGCAACAGCATTTGCTGATGCCTGTCCCGTAGTACCTGTTGGATTTGATGTACTGACATTTTGGTTCTCAGCCAGAAGGGGCCGAGAAAGATGTTCTGGTGCACTGATGTTGATGAAATGGTGTTTTCTGGGAGCATCTTAGAAAACTAAATGGTGCTAACATAAAGGTTTATTAGGACTCCCAGTCCATTCTGTGCCATACCCTGCTGCCGTATAGCAACACATCATTCTCTTTGTATACCAAGACCTTTGTGTGTTCTGCAGCATCTGATATATGTACAGTTCACTATGGCAGCATCCGTAGGGTATTGGACAGTATAGCAAATAAGCTAGTAAAGTGAAGCCACTGTGCTCTGTGCTTTATGGTGCTGTTTGTGTTGCTGGGGAAGGGCTTTGTGTGATAGCTAGAGTCGCTGTGACTGATGGAGCTACACCTATGGAAGTATTTACTTGTGGGAGGTTCAGAAGATACAATCTGTTTGCTAACAGCTTGTAGCTAACATCTGAGCTGAAGAGTTCCCTGGCGATCCAGGGATCATAGGAAAGATATTTGTTGCTGTCTTGACAGTGTATAATACCTTCCACTTTTCTTCTTGATGTCAGCAAATTCTTCCAAAACTAAAACTCCCATGGCTTGAGGAAAACCTCAGATGTGAAAGAGCAGGTGTGCTTTTAGTGGTAGTTTGAAGAAAGGTGTGAGTAAACGGAGAAAAGACTGAGCGAATGGAACATGTTTTTAACTTGGGGGCTCTGCTCTTCAAACCATATTGTTAAGGAAGCTCTTTTCTCAGTTACCTTTCATGGAGGGGAGAAGTTAGTTTGGTAGACAACTCTTGTTTTAGCAAAACAACACAGTTGCAATCATAGCTGCGTGTGTTTTGATTTTGTACTTTTTTTCTGTCTTGGAAAAGCAATGGTCTTACCAGCTCTATTCTCTTTCCTGTTTGTTAGGTCTGCCTAACCACGGACAAACCAGACAAATGGTAAGAGAATGTTCATTTAACCAAAACAGGGAAAAGAAGAATTATTAACCCGCGCTAGATAGAACACCCCATTAAACCCTAGTGTTTCACTTCCGTCTTTGCTGTTTGCAGCTGGTCATACTTCCCAATTAATCGAAAAGTTTTTAAAAAAAAAAAGTATTTGGGGCACATAAAATGTTGAAGTGGTTAAATACAATTTAAACCTCAAATCTATCTACATATATAAATGAGACTGTTTTGAATGGAACATTTTGTTTCTGCTCATACAGAAACTGAGTGGCTGTTTATAGCAAAGTTCTGGGATGTGTTTCTAGGTGGAATGTGTTTGACTGAAGGAGGAAGGCTTAACTGATGGAAGGGTTTTTTTGGAAAACAGTGTCTCTTCTTTTAGGAAGTTGGTGTGCAAGCTGTCTGCTGAGAATGCTTTTTTTTTTTTTTTTTAAAGTAAAAATGATTCCTAGCCCTTCATCCATTATGCTGAGTTTTATCAAAGGACAGAAGCAAATAGCCAGTCTGATTGATGCGTCTCTGGCAAAATGCTTTCTCATGAAATTCACCTTGGTGTGAAGGGGCCAGCGCAAAGGCTGTGCATCACATCACTTTCCCCCCCTTACACATGGCTTATGGGAGAGAACTTCATGCATAAGTATTCCCCCCGCCCCCC